TCTCGGCAGTGTCTTCCTCCTGCGGTACTTTGGCCCGCGCTGTTTTCCGCGTGTCCATGTTCGAATTACTTCTGACACCAGTTGAAGTACCGGTGAGGACGCTTGACGCCGAGGTTGAGGCACACGTATATTTATTTCACAATACGACAGTGGGCATATACACACTCGAGGGGGTATCGGCCCCCTCACCCGTATAACTCGGGATACACCCCTAGCTAACTCTGTCCTAGCCCCGAATCCTCCACTAATGGGCTAGGGGAGGCTAACTGGCCCGACACTGGTAAGTCGGGCCCGGTACCCGGAGTTCCAGACCAGCTCTTACAAGAGCACCGGCTCTGGCTTTCGGGACCACGCCGCTGGCTCAGTCCTGTCCGGCCCTGAAAAGGACATCGAACTAGGGGAGTCCAGGGCTCTATCTAAGACGTCTTCAGTCTTCTTCCCTTAGCTTAAACATAACTCTCTCGAGCCCTTTGAACATCCCCTTTTATACCCAACCCCTCCCTGAGGGGTGGGGCCCCGGGGGATCATAACGTTCGAACCAGCCCCCCCCCAGGGTGTCTGGCTCGGACGTCGTAGAGGGCACCTCCTCGTGCACTTACGTAGCCCCGCCCACTGTGTTTGTTTCCCATAGGCTGCCATGCATAACGGGCCCTCTCTTTAACACCCCTACACATACACAGACACACTCGTCCACTCGCACGCGACATCACGGCACATGGGTTTTGTGGCGGGGTGCGTTCTGCGGTAATGGAGCGGTTTGCGCGCTGTGCCCCCCCCCCCCCACTCTGGGCTGTGCCCCCCCCCCCACTCTGGGCTGTGCCCCCCCCCCTCCACTCTGGACTGTGCCCACCCCCCCTCCCACTCTGGGCTGTGCCCCCCCCCACACTGGGCTGCCCCCCCCCCCACCGTGGGCTGTGAGTGACACCCTTAATCAATGTGTAATGGGTTCAACTGAGTCGCAGACGTAGACTCAGACACACGGGGTAACTTCCCCTTAGCAGAATAACAACCTATGGTGGTGGCAACCAGGCTAGCTACACTAGTTACTACGCTAGTTACTACACTGCACTAGTTACTACACTAGTTACTACACTACACTAGTTACTACACTAGTTACTACATTAGTTACGACACTAGTTACTACACTAGTTACTACACTAGTTACTACGTAACTGCTGCTACGGACCGAGACCAACAGCTTGGTTCCAGGTCCACGTGTTGGAGACTCGTAGAACGTAGAGCGTAGACGAAGGTTTCTCCCAGGATGATCAACAACAACCCTGGTCCCTCTCGGGACCCGGCTTTTATTCTCTGCGGCGTGGCTGCTCCACCCTTGGCCACGACCACCTTCCAGAATCCTCGGGAAGGATCTGGGTCCCAATCACGTGACCACCCCCAGCCCCCTCTGGGGGCCCCTCTGTAGACTTAACTGGTCACGTGTCCTCCCGAGTCGAGGAACCTCATCCCTCAGCCGGCACTCACACACCCTGTCCTGTAGGGTTGGCACTGCACGCCAAGCGTGGTGCCATCCAGCGCTATCAATCAGTGCCGGCACTACACCCACACCACTGTGGTATCCGCGATGTTGTTACACCACACGCCGTGCCTCTCTAGGGCTAGCACTGCTCGTTGACATCCCGCGATGTCACTACATCACCCCCCCCCCCCCTTCGTAGAACTCAGCCACCCCGGCTGTCAACTCCCCCTCAACAATACAACAAAGCCTCTTAGTGTGCCTCAACAAATAAATACCCCATCCCATAAAGACAATATATACAAAGACGAACGGGGGAAGGGGACAGAAGTACAGAACAACAATAGGCGAACACAAAGGAAGAGAGAGAAGGGAAGAGAAAACAACAACACGTAGTAGCGGTACACGCCGCCAACCCCTTATGTCGTTGCAAGAGCAGGTGCGCCTGGATGCATCTTGCAACCTTGAGAGAAGACAAATCGTCTTGGTCGACGGCCGGCAGGACGATGTTGAGGTCCTTCGCCAACGTCATCAATCTCTCGAGGACCAGCGAGTCGACTCCGTCGTGGTCCATCTTCGGGAAAGCAGCCTTCGCTCGCGCCAATAGTGCACTACGGACGGCGAGGGGCATCTCGCCCTCCCCCCTCCTCCGCGCAGCTAACTTATGGCGAACGTTTGATGGAGGTTCGTAGATTGCCGCCACTTCAGCAAAGGCTTGTTGTAGCGTGGCCCTCTCCGACGGTGGGATGTTGTGAAACGCCGCCAAGGCGTCGTCGTCAAGCGCGGCGGGCAGCGCTCTCAGCGCTTCCGTCCACCCCGCCAAGTCGCAGTTCGTCTGGAACCGGCACTTGAAGGCCACCCAGTCGCCTCCGGCGGCTGAAAATTCTTTAACAAAAGGTCGACGTCGCCCGAGGGATGTAATCTCAACAGGCGAACTCGAACAAAATGGCGGCCTCGTGCGCGGGCTGCGACACGGAGCTTTCCCGCTGGCGGGAAACGGCGACGGGATGCTCGACCACGCACAGCTCCGGTGCTCTCTCCTCCACCGCTGGCTGTTCACGGTCGAGTTAAGCGACCACCGCAGCCACGGCCTCTAGGAGTTCCGCGAGGCAGGTGCGGAACATGCGGCGCTCTCTCCCCAACGGTGGTGAGCTGTCGCTGAGATGGTCATTGCGATGCTCCCCCGACGGCGCCTCACTCCCTTTTCTCCGGGGTCGCCATCCCCGGCGCTGTCTGAGGCATAACGCCTTCGTCGTCCTCGTCGTCCTCCTCGTCCGACAACTTCCTGGTATGTAGTCTGCGTCGCGTACGCATAACCTAACTCGGCCTATCTTACTGACAAAAGAATGTTTGGCCACTTCCAACACCAATTGTAATGGGTTCAACTGAGTCGCAGACGTAGACTTGGAGGCAATACATTTATTCAACTCCACCACACGTCGGTAACTTCCCCTTAACAGAATAACAACCTATGGAGGTGAATCCTGTCACGACCATCACTGAATGTAACACAACAACAACAACCGCCATTCGCCACTAAGTGGCGGTGACGTCAACCACGGCGCTTGTGCCAGGCTAGGTGCGCTTTAAGGCCACGTTAAGTTGTCGAATGCCCCCTGGCAGGAGGTCACGGGACAGCAGCCAGCAGGTGCCATGGGTTGACCGAGATGATTGGCCGATGCACCACCTGTGCACAACACACACACACTCACACACCCTCGTATGTACGGGGCACGTTTGCGTAAACAATATAACGAGCGAGAGAAGGAGGCGGGGGTCAATCACTGGAGAGCGCAAGGGCGGCGAGATGTTAACTACCTCGCCTGGTCTACAGGAGGTCGTGAGTTAGACCCTGACGCCTGTTCTATATTTGGAGTTTGCGTGTCTCTCTCACTGTGGTCGCGTGGATTTTTCTCCGGGTCTTCCGCTTTTTGCCTCCACATTTAGAATCGACAACACGCGTGCAGAGTCTTTGGCTGCTGTAAATTTCCACACGATGATAGGCCACTTCGTCGATCTATCACTTGTGATAGCCACGTGGCCTCTGAGCTACACGGCAGCTCAGTGGGGCCTCACCGAGTAAAAGAAAAAACCGAGATTAGTCGCTCACTCCGCTGGGGACCCGGTGGTGGAATCGCGCGTGTGGGCGAGGAGCGACCTCTGAACTGGTCCCGTACCCCCCTCGTCACCCCCCCCCTCGCACTGACCACCAGCGTCGTGAAGTATGGCCAAGCACCCCTACCATCAACACGGCGCGAGCACGAACACTCCCCCGTGTAGCCTGAACAGATTGTTGGGGAAGGCCGGCACGGCACACAAAGGAGTGGCGATGTTTACACATCGCACGGGGGTACTCATTTGAGGCTGAGTCGACCTAGGGGGAGGCCGAGGACCGGTTCAGATAATCGTCACTGGTGTTGGCCGTGAAACGACACACACAGACGCACACAAAAACACACACACATCCAACACACACACACATCCAACACACACACACATCCAACACACACACACATCCAACACACACACACACATCCAACACACACACACATCCAACACATACACACACACACCCAACACACACACACACATCCAACACACACACACACATCCAACACACACACACATCCAACACATACACACACACACCCAACACACACACACACATCCAACAAACACACACAAGCTGCCTTCCACTTGATTCAAGGCGCGTGCTCATAGCGACCCGCGATTGCCCAGCGGCGGGGGCGAGTGGACGCACTGAGGGACGTGGGGGGGGGTCTGTAAGGGGGGCGGGCTTTAGAGGGACAGGGTGGGCAGCAGGGGCAGCGGGAGCAGCAGGAGCCCCCCGCTCTCCCCGTGGTCCCGTGAACAGCCCCGTGTCCAGACCGCGTCACATCCATCATCGGCGCGTAACCGCAGCGACCAGAGCGATGCTCCTCCTCCTCCCTCCTCCTCCTCCCTCCTCCTCCCTCCCGCGTCTCCCACCGCGATGCACAAGGAGCCCGCATCCAGCACAGCCCCGCCCCTCTCCATCCATTGCATTGACTCACCCCCCCCCCCCAATTTATTTCTCCCCACAGACCCCCCGCTCCTCCTACACCCACCCATACAATCACACAACACCACCTACAACACGCACGGCGTAGGTCTATTGCTGGGATCGAGATGGAGTGGTCGCGGAGCAAGGGTGGAGGAGGGAAGGGGGAGGGTGTGGATGGAGGAAGGAGAGAGAAGAGGGATTGAGGAGAGAGGAGGCAGGAGATTCATGGAGAAGAGGGTTGTGGAGGAGGGAGGAGAGAGGGACAAGGAACGAGGGATAGACGAGGGGGGGTGGAGCAAAGATGAGATGAGAGAGCGGAGCTGGAAGCAGCCAGAAGGCGGCAGGGATGGTGAGATGGAGAGAAAGAGATGGGGGGGAAGGAGGGAGTGAGGTGAGAGGGAGAGAGAGAGAGACGGAGAGACGAAGGGAGGGAGAGATCAACCGGGTAGGAGTGGGAGGGTTAAGGACCCGCCTTCGCTCAGACACACGCAAGTACGCACGCACGCGCACGCACGCACTCACACACCAGCGCGCAAGGACATCAATGCACGATGCACATAGCACGCTAACACGCCTGCGCATTACAAAACGCGGGCACGCACACGCACACACCGCACACACGCGCGCACGCACACACCACACACGCACACACACACGCGCACGCACACACCACACACGCGTGCACGCACACACCGCACGCACACACCACACACGCGTGCACGCACACACCGTACACACACAGGCGCGCACGCGTGCACACGCACCGAGACGCACCGAGAGACATGCGGTTCGTCACCGAGCGAGCAGCGGTGACGGTCTCCTCCGTCGGTCGCTCGCAGTCGCCATCGCTTCCTTCCCGTCGCTCGTAGCTCGAACGCTGCCGAGCGTCCTCGCATGGCCGGCCGAGTCGAGTGGCAAACGCGGCGGCGGTGGCGGAGGCGAGGAGGAGGAGGGGAGGAGGAGGAGGGCGCAGATCCACTGGACGGACGCGGCGAGCTCCACAGATTCTCACGTAGGGCGGCAAATGTCTCCTACAGTGCGCGGCTCGGCTCGATTGTGAATCTGTGCGGTAGCAGCAGCAGCAGCGGCAGCAGTAGCAGCAGCAGCTAGCACCGTCAGTAGCAGCAGCAGCGGTAGCGGCTGAAGCAGTAGCAGCGTCACAACAGCAACAGCAGCAGCAGCATTGTCGCCGTCATCATCATCAGCATCGTCGTCGTAATCAGCAGCGGCGGCAGTGGCAGAAGCATCATTAGCAGCAGCGGCGGCAGCTTCATCATCAGCAGTATCGGCATCAGTCCCCTCGTCATCAGCAGCAGCACCACGATTAGCATCAACCGCAGCATCAGCAGAATCGACAACCGCTGCAGGATCATCACCACCACGGCCTATCCACTGCTGAATGAACGTCCGGCCTCCCCACGTCGTCTCCATCCCTCACGGACTCGTCCGCGTCGCCCCACATCATCATCACCACCACCATCACCGCCACCACCACCTCCGCGCTACGGAATGACGATCAGCGCCGTTGCGGATTTCCATTCAATTCTGCTTCTCCCGTCACCACCGCCGCCACCACCGCCCCCACCACCGCCACTACCACCGCCACCGCCGCCACTACCACCACCGCCACCACCACCACCACAACCGCCACCACCACCGCCACCACCACCGCCACCACCACCGCCATCGCCGCCACTACCACCACCGCCACCACCACCACCGCCACCACAACCGCCACCACCGTTGCGTACACGGAGGGGGTAGGAAACCGCTCCGTGTCGCCGAGACGCGGACCACGTGCGCAAACACTGCACCCGCGAGGCATCCATCCAGCAGTGGACGGACCACGGGCTGAGTACGCGATGCCATGTCACGTGCACGTGGATTTGTTCATCGCTGTGCCCGTGCGTGTGTGCGTGCGCGTGTGCGCGTGTAGGACGCCCCGGTGAAGGAGGATTACGACCGCTGTCCGCGCGCGCGTGAACATCGGTGAGACGCGCAGTGGCAGTGCGGCGAGGTGAGCACACGGGCAGACGGATCGTGTATTTGTCACAGGGAGACGGAGGGACGCGGGGTGGCCGTGCGGCTCGCAGGTCTGGGGGCGCCGAGCCGCCGGCACCGCTGACAACGTGGGCTCGAATCCTCGCTCCAGCCGCACAGCCGCAGTGACTGACGCCGAGGTCACGGCTGACTCGTGTCGTGACGGTGCAGACTCTCACCGGGGTCCATGCACTCGCACCGATAGAGCCATAGACTGAGACAGAGAGAAGCAGAGACTCATGTGGAGACTCGTACACTCCCACAGAGAGCCAGAGACGTGCATGGAGGCCCACAGACTGCGCTGTGGTAGCTGCGCATGTGGCCTGTAATGCAGCAGCGTGGAGCAGCGAGGGTTGGTGGATCACGCGCACACACACAGCGGTGATACTCATTCCCGGGAGCGTCGGTGTCTCCGTCTCATGGCTTGCCAGGGTGTGTGAGTACAGCAAGTAGGTCACCGTCCACCTCGACGGCTATTGAGCGTTACCCCCCCCCCCTCGCACGCGTGGGGGTTTCTCCGGCCGCTCCCGCTGACTCCCACAGTGTACACAGCATTCACTGATCGTGCCAAACAGAGGACCGCAGAGCTGGGGAAATTGTTGGCGTCGTTTCTGGCTGGCATCGCGCTCGTTTCTGCGTGGGGTTCCCCGCGCCTCTAAACCATTCTCACTCCCTCCCTCTCTCTCTGTCTCTCTCTGTCTCTCTCCCTTTGTCTCTGTCTCTCTCTCTATCTCTCTCTCTGTGTCTCTGTCTCTCTTTCTCTGTCTCTCTCTGACTCCCTCTCTCTGTCTCTCTCTCTCGATCTGAGGTTGAACGAAGCCTGCCCGTTCCAAATTCTCGATATCAACAACATTCCAGCGGGATGCGCCTGCCCCAGCAACATCACCACTCCCCTCCCTCCCTCCCTCCCCTTCCCTCAGCTATCCCCGTTAGCATGGCCGTGGCACGTAAAGTCCGGACCCTCCTGGCCCTCAACCTCCTCATGCTGGCCGCGCTGCTCCTCTTCCTCGTCTACTCGCGCTCCGTGGACCGCACCGAGCCGGCGGTCGTCGAGGCGATGGCCACGGCGGGCGAGGCGGCCTCGAGGGCGGCCGCTGTGGCCGCCCGGGCCCGGCTCACGCGCGCCCGGGGCAAGGCGAAAGCACGGGCGAGGCGCGCGGGCGAGGCGGGGTTCGACGCGGCGGCGGTGGGGGACCAGGGCGGCAGCGTGGAGGGCAACGCGGGTGGCCAGGGGGCTGTCGGCGGGAGGAGAGGGGACCCCGAGGGGCTCCTCAAGCGACTGGAGCAGCTGGAGCAGTTGGTGTACCGGAGACTCGGAGGTGAGCCGCCTCCTCCCCCCCCCCAGGCCGCTTCCGCCCACCGGCTCGATTCCTGGCTCGATATTGGGACCGCTGCAGGGAGCTCCACAGGGCTCAGGATAAATGGAGCTCAGCTGATGAACACTTCGTAGCACGCTTTCGCGACCAATATCATCCATAATAGAGGTTTTTGGGGTTAGATCGTGTAAATATATAAATGCGTCGTTAAACCCGCCACCACCCGACACAGCCAACTAGTAAGGGTTGTCACGTAAACAGAACGTGGCCAATTCGTCACTAGTACAGCACACCGGTGTGTTGGAGCCAAGCTACAACATTTACAATCCGAGAACGACGTTTCGTCAGTAATTACAACCAGCTTCATCAGGCGACAGCCAGATTTGTGGAGAAGTCCACCTGTTTCGTTCCTTACACAGCTGATCGCTGTCTGTCTTATCACACTGAGTCCACGTGCTCCGTACGGGCGATGTGCGCGCCAGCGACACGCCGTGTGGCTCCGGGTTGAGGAGCCTACAAACTCCGCCTCGGGGTTGTCCAGTCTCGGCTGATAGCGCATGGCACGTGGAGTCATCATCATCGCCATCAGCTCACGCAGAGACCCGCAGACTCGCATAGAGACTCGCGCACAGATGCCCATCATGCGAGCACAGAGAGAGAGAGATCCATGGACCTCACGGAGAGTCCCAGAGACTCGCGCGGAGCCACAGAGGTTGACATGGAGGAGATAATATTTTCATTAACGATACTAGGGGCTGGGCTTAGAGTCGAGATAATCGGCGTTTTATTAAAAAAAAAACGTAAATTGTAAAAAACTAATTACAACGTTAAGATAATGTCTATAAATATGGCAGGGAATGGGGCAACTAGGGAATGTCTCAGTGACGGAAAAGAATGTAATAGTCAAACTGTCTTGTTTAAGAATTACTAATAGGGGCAATCAACTAAATAGACAGCGGTATATTCCGTCACCTACTTTGTTTTTGTCGGAATGTGTTGTTGTTGTTGTTGTCGTCTTGCTGTCCGCCCGCCCGCTCTGTCTGTGTGATGCGTCTCTCGCACGATTTGGCTCGACTCGAAGGTTGCCGACCCCTGCCCACAACGCTGACCGATCCCTCCCTCGCTCTGCCCCCCCCCCCCACACAGACGGGGGTCGCTTGGGCCCCCCGCTGCTGGGCGCCGGGCCCGCAGGGGGGGGCCCCCCGTTGGGAGCGGGGGGGGCCCTCCCCGAGGGCCCCGGGTCGCGCGGGGGGGCGGCCCGGGAGGCGGAGGGCCGCGCGTCGCTGCTGCAGCTGCAGCAGCAGCGGCAGCAGGGGGGGGATGACGACGAGGAGGAGCTGTACCACAAGTACGGCTACAACGCGCACCGCAGCGACCGCCTGCCGCTCCTGCGGGACATCCCCGACTACAGACCCGGCGGGTGGGTGGGGGTGGGGGGCACGGGGGAGGGGGGGGGGGTTATATGGGGGAGGTTGTGGGTGGAGGAGGGGGGCGGGGGGCACGGGGGAGGGGGGGTGAGTTTATATGGGGGAGGTGGTGGGTGGAGGAGGGGGGCGGGTGGGTGGGGGGTGAGCTTATATGGGGGGCGGGCGGGCCGTGGGGGGGCGAGGTCACGTGGGGGAGGGGGGCTTGCATTAAGGAATGAGAGAAGGGGGGGAGCGGTAGTGTGGTGCGCCACGAACCTGGCGACCCGAGTTCGATTCCTACTCACGGTCAACACCGGTTACAGCTGTAGCTGTAGTTACAGCTGTAGCAACAGCTGTGGAGGTCGGGTGGAGGGAGGAGGGGGGAGAGTAGGGGTGGAGGGTAGGGGTGGAGGGTAGGGGTGGAGGTAGGGTGGAGGGTAGAGAGGGGAGGGTAGTGGTGGAGGGTAGGAGGGTGGAGGGTAGTGGTGAAGGGTGGGGGTGGAGGTAGGGTGGAGGGTAGAGAGGGGAGGGTAGTGGTGGAGGGTAGGGGTGGAGGGTGGAGGGTAGTGGTGGAGGGTGGGGGTGGAGGTAGGGGTGGAGGGTAGAGAGGGGAGGGTAGTGGTGAAGGGTGGGGGTGGAGGTAGGGGTGGAGGGTGGAGGTAGGGGTGGAGGGTAGGTTGAGGGCGATTTGCTTCTCTGCCTCCCACCACGTGGTAGTGAATAAGTCAATTGTTTAATTATTGATGCTGATGATCGCGTCTGCCCACAGCATCATCGCTAACGCCGCCACGTTTCTGATTTGCATATTGCATTATAATGAGTGTGTGTGTCACTGTGTGTGTGTCACTGTGTGTGTGTGTCGCTGTGTGTGTGTGTCGCTGTGTGTGTGTCACTGTATGTGCCACTGTGTGTGTCACTGTGTGTGTGTGGTGTACGTGGGTGTGGGGAGCGGTAGTGTAGCGGTTAGCGGGAATGGAACCCGGCGACCCGAGTTCGATTCCCGCTCACGGCCAACACCGGTGACGATTATCTGAACCGGTCTTGGGCCTCCCCTAGGTCGACTCAGCCTCAAATGGGTACCTAGTGCGATGTGTAAACATCGCCACTAGGGAGACAAAGGCGACCGGGCGTGGTGCTGGCCACCCACCCCCTCGTGTGCTGTGCCAGCTTTCATAGGTGCTCGCTAACAGCACTTGCCCCAACAGTCTGTTAGGGCTACACGTGGGTTCTTTGTCTTTGTGTGGGCAGTGGTTAGCGCACTGTCCCGAGTTCGATTCCCGCTCAGAAGCAAACACCGGCGACGAATACCTGAACCGGTCGTGGGCCTCTCCTAGGTCGACCCAGCCTTAAACCATCAGTCTCATTGGGCGTGACAAAGGCAGCCAAGCGATGTTGCTGGCTGCAACACCTCAATAGAATAGGTGCTATTCGCCAACAGCACTTGCCCCAAGAGTCTGTCAAGTCTATACGGGTGGTCTTTGTCTTTGTGCACGGACGCGTGGTCGATTGGGGCGCCGCGTGATGAATCGCGTCCCGAGCGAAGCGCTGCAGACTGCAGGAGCGCCACGCGCACCAGAGACAAAGATCCCCCGTGTAGCCTTCACGCAATTTTGGGGCAAGTGCCGTCGGCGAGCATTTATCAATGCCGGCACGGCGCACCGGATGGTTGAGGGGGGGTGCCCAGCATCACGCCCAGCGATGTTTGCACATCGCAACAGGTACTCATTTAAGGCTGAGTAGACCTAGGAGTGACATAGGATCGGTTGAGAACATCGCCACTGGCGTTGGTCGTGAGCGAGATAGGAAGTCGGGGTCGCCGGGTTCGTAGCGCAGCGCTCACCACTTCACTACCGCTCCCCACACACCACACACACCACACACACAGACAAATATCTCCCGTGTAGCCTTAACAGACTGTTGGGGCAAGTGCTGTTAGTGAGCACCTATGAAGGCCGGAACGGCACACGAGGAGGTGGGTGGCCAATACCACGCCCGGCCGCCTTTGTCTCCCTAGTGGCGATGTAAACGCACCGTCGCAGGTACTCATTTGAGGCTGAGTCGACCTAGGGGGGGCCCAGGGCCGGTTCAGATCATCGTCACTTGGTGTTGGCCGTGAGCGGGAATCGAACTCGGGAGGCCGGGTTCGTAGCGCAGCGCGCTAACCGCTACACTATCGCTCCCCACACACCACACACACACACACCGCACACACCACACACACACGTCACACACACCACACACCACACACACAGACAATGTCATATTTTCCTTGTCAGCGGATACTCGTGTCGAGACTGAATGCGACTCCCGAGGGCGAGGTGGGGGCCCAGGGGAGAGTAGGGGGCCGAAGGGGAGGAGGGTGCGCGGGGGATGAGGGGAGGGGGTGTGGATGGAGGGGAAGCCCTCATAGGACGCTAAGTGACCAGGTCACCTTGCATGATCGGGTGACTTCACGTGACCAGGTCACGTTATGTAACCGGGAGTCATTTCGCACGAGCGGATAATTTCGCGTTTGCAAGTGCGACGAAATGTGTGGCCAATGTTTGGCCTCGCAGCTGTGGTTGGTTTGCCTTGGGGTGGGAACATCGTCGCGCCAGGCGTCACCAATGCTGCAATGTCACACGCGGGTCGCACACGCTGCACGCGCCCGATGATTGCTAAAACACGTGCGCCGTGAACGTGGCGAGATGTTAACTCCCTCGCCTGCTACGCAGGAGGTCGTGGGTTCGATCCCGACCCTGACGCCTGTTGTATATTTGGAGTTTGTGTCTCTCTCTCTCTCTCCGTGGTCGCGTGGATTTTTCTCCGGGTCCTCCGGTTTCCCCCTCCACATTTCGAATCAACATCAGCGCGAGTTGAGAGTGTTTGTCTGCCGCTATACATGTCCACGTGATGAGCCAACTTGGTTGAGCTGTCATTCGTGATAGGCCAGGCCGCTTCCGAAAAATAGCTACACAGCTCAGCGGGGGCTTACCTGGTAAAGTAAAATAAACATGTCTAGTTTATTAAGAGGCTGCAAAGACAAGAATGACCCCGTGTAGCATTGGACAGATTGTTGGGACAAGTGAAGTGACCGAGCGAGCGCCTATGAAGACCGCCACGGCGTTTTACGCACCGCGAACTCGTTCGAGACGGAGTCGACCGAGCGGATGCCCAGGACCGGTCCAGATAATCGTGCACTGGTGGTGTTCGTTGGCCGTGAGTGGGCATCGAACTCGGGTTGTCGGGGTTTGGGGCGAAGCGTGCTGAAGCGCTGCACACAGCAAGGCCTACGACCGCGGGGTAGGTGGCGTGCATATGAACGCGCTCGTTAAAGAGCCACACACACGCGCGCGATCTCTATCGATGTAAAGGACAATATAAATTAGGCGGATGATAACCGACTTGTTCGTGTGGTTTCAAACAGCTGGGCGAGTCTAAGGGGCGGCGGGGGGGGGGTAACTCTGTTAACCCCCCCTCCCCCTATCCCCCACCCATTAAAGGCACGCTCGCTAATTGGCTGTTCGGTGATTCTGCGTGCGCGCGCGAATCGCCCGTCTGAGCTGCGCGCCTCTCTCTCCACCACCACCATCATCATCCCTCCCATCCACCGCCCTCGCTCCACATTCTATCCATCCTCTCATCATCTCTGCCTTTCTCCACACCAACCCCACCATCACGTCTCCGTCCTTGCCTCTCTCCATCTCTCTCTCTCCCTTCCTCTATCAACAATGCCCCCCCTCCCTTTCCCATCTCCCTTACGTCAATTCGATCCTCCCACCTTCAATCCAATTCCCCTCCAACCACCATTGTCAACATCGTTGTCCCTACGACCGTAAACTCCTCCCCCCCTCGTCCTGCCTACCTCACCTCCCTCTCCCACACCTCGACAACCCCCACTCCCTCCCCCCTCCCTCCCCTCCCCTCCCTCCCTCAATTCTCCCTCCCGCTCGCCCCACCCCCTCGGCTCCCTTCCCTCCCCGTTCCCCTAATCCCTCCCACCCCCTGCGCCCTTCCAAAGACAAAGCGCCCCCCGTAGCCTTAACAGACGTTTGGGCCAAGTGCAATAAGCGAGTGGCACCTATGAAAGCCGGCACGGCACCACAGAGGGGGTGAGGGCCCAGCACAACGCCCGACCGCCTTTGTCTCCCCAGTGGCGATGTTTCACTACACACTGCACCAGGTACTCATTTGAGGCTGAGTCGATCTAAGGGAGGCCCAGAACCGGTTCAGATAATCGTCGTCGTCACTGCTGTCGGTGGTCGTGAAGGGCAACAGAACTCGGGTCGCCGGGTCCGTTAGCGCAGCGCGCACCCTCCCTCCCTCCCTCCCTCCCTCCCTCCCTCCCTCCCTCCCTCCCTCCCTCCCTCCCTCCCTCCCTCCCTCCCTCCCTCCCCTCCCTCCCTCCCTCCCTCCCTCCCTCCCTCCCCCTCACACGTCTCTCGCTCCCTCCCTCCCTCCCTCCCTCCCTCCCTCCCTCCCTCCCTCCCTCCCTCCCTCCCTCCCTCCCTCCCTCCCTCCCTCCCTCCCTCCCTCCCTCCCTCCCCCTCACACGTCTCTCGCTCCCTCCCTCCCTCCCTCCCTCCCTCCCTCCCTCCCTCCCCTCCCTCCCTCCCTCCCTCCCTCCCTCCCTCCCCCTCACACGTCTCTCGCTCCCTCCCTCCCTCCCTCCCTCCCTCCCTCCCTCCCTCCCTCCTCCCTCCCTCCTCCCTCCCTCCCTCCCTCCCCCTCACACGTCTCTCGCTCCCTCCCTCCCTCCCTCCCTCCCTCCCTCCCTCCCTCCCTCCCTCCCTCCCTCCCTCCCTCCCTCCCCCTCACACGTCTCTCGCTCCTCCCTCCCTCCCTCCCTCCCTCCCCCTCCCTCCCTCCCTCCCTCTCCCTCCTCCCTCCCTCCCTCCCTCCCTCCCTCCCCTCCTCCCCTCACACGTCTCTCGCTCCCTCCCTCCCTCCCTCCCTCCCTCCCTTCCTCCCTCCCTCCCCTCCCCCTCACGCGTCTCTCACTCCCCTCCCTCCCTCCCTCCCTCCCTCCCTCCCTCCCTCCCCTCCCCCTCACGCGTCTCTCACTCCCCTCCCTCCCTCCCTCCCTCCCTCCCTCCCCCTCACACGTCTCTCCCTCCCTCCCTCCCTCCCTCCCTCCCCCTCACACGTCTCTCCTCCCTCCCTCCCTCCCTCCCTCCCCCTCACACGTCTCTCGCTCCCCTCCCCTCCCTCCCTCCCTCCCCCTCACACGTCTCTCGCTCCCCTCCCACCCCTCCCCCTCACGCGTCTCTCGCTCCCTCCCTCCCTCCCTCCCCTCCCTCCCTCCCTCCCCCTCACACGTCTCTCGCTCCCCTCCCACCCCTCCCCCTCACGCGTCCTCTCGCCCCCTCCCTCCCCTCCCTCCCTCCCTCCCCCTCACGCGTCTCTCACTCCCCTCCCTCCCTCCCTCCCTCCCCTCCCCCTCACACGTCTCTCGCTCCCCTCCCTCCCCTCCCCCTCACGCGTCTCTCACTCCCCTCCCTCCCCTCCCTCCCTCCCTCCCTCCCTCCCTCCCTCCCTCCCCCCTCACACGTCTCTCGCTCCCTCCCTCCCTCCCTCCCTCCCCTCCCCCTCACGCGTCTCTCACTCCCCTCCCTCCCTCCCTCCCTCCCTCCCTTCCTCCCTCCCTCCCCTCCCCCTCACGCGTCATCTCACTCCCCTCCCTCCCTCCCTCCCTCCCTCCCTCCCCTCCCCCTCACGCGTCTCTCACTCCCCTCCCTCCCTCCCTCCCTCCCTCCTCCTCCCCCTCACACGTCCTCTCCCTCCCTCCCCTCCCTCCCTCCCTCCCCCTCACACTCCGCTCCCGTCCTCCCTCCCTCCCTCCCTCCCCCTCACACGTCTCTCCCTCCCTCCCTCCCTCCCTCCCCCTCACACGTCTCTCGCTCCCCTCCCTCCCCTCCCTCCCTCCCTCCCCCTCACACGTCTCTCGCTCCCCTCCCTCCCCTCCCTCCCTCCCTCCCCCTCACACGTCTCTCGCTCCCCTCCCACCCCTCCCCCTCACGCGTCTCTCGCTCCCTCCCTCCCTCCCTCCCCTCCCTCCCTCCCTCCCCCTCACACGTCTCTCGCTCCCCTCCCACCCCTCCCCCTCACGCGTCTCTCGCTCCCTCCCTCCCCTCCCTCCCTCCCTCCCCCTCACGCGTCTCTCACTCCCCTCCCTCCCTCCCTCCCCTCCCCCTCACACGTCTCTCGCTCCCCTCCCTCCCCTCCCCCTCACGCGTCTCTCACTCCCCTCCCTCCCCTCCCTCCCTCCCTCCCTCCCTCCCTCCCCCTCACACGTCTCTCGCTCCCTCCCTCCCTCCCTCCCTCCCCTCCCCCTCACGCGTCTCTCACTCCCCTCCCTCCCTCCCTCCCTCCCTCCCTTCCTCCCTCCCTCCCCTCCCCCTCACGCGTCTCTCACTCCCCTCCCTCCCTCCCTCCCTCCCTCCCTCCCTCCCCTCCCCCTCACGCGTCTCTCACTCCCCTCCCTCCCTCCCTCCCTCCCTCCCTCCCCCTCACACGTCTCTCCCTCCCTCCCTCCCTCCCTCCCTCCCCCTCACACGTCTCTCCCTCCCTCCCTCCCTCCCTCCCTCCCCCTCACACGTCTCTCGCTCCCCTCCCTCCCCTCCCTCCCTCCCTCCCCCTCACACGTCTCTCGCTCCCCTCCCTCCCCTCCCTCCCTCCCTCCCCCTCACACGTCTCTCGCTCCCCTCCCACCCCTCCCCCTCACGCGTCTCTCGCTCCCTCCCTCCCTCCCTCCCCTCCCTCCCTCCCTCCCCCTCACACGTCTCTCGCTCCCCTCCCACCCCTCCCCCTCACGCGTCTCTCGCTCCCTCCCTCCCCTCCCTCCCTCCCTCCCCCTCACGCGTCTCTCACTCCCCTCCCTCCCTCCCTCCCTCCCCTCCCCCTCACACGTCTCTCGCTCCCCTCCCTCCCCTCCCCCTCACGCGTCTCTCACTCCCCTCCCTCCCCTCCCTCCCTCCCTCCCTCCCTCCCCCTCACACGTCTCTCGCTCCCCTCCCTCCCTCCCCCTCACGCGTCCCTCCCTGCCTCCCCCTCACGCGTCTCTCGCTGCCCCCCCCCTACCCCGGGCAGGTGTAAGGAGCTGCGCTACGCGGCCGACCTGCCGCAGGTCTCCGTGGTGTTCATCTTCGTGAACGAGGCCGCGTCCGTGATCGAGCGCTCCGCGCACAGCGCCGCGCGCCGCACCCCGGCGCATCTCCTGCGGGAAATCATCCTCGTGGACGACGCCAGCGACGACCGTGAGTGGCGGGGGTGGGATGGGAGAGACGGAGGGAGGCGCGTGGGGAATGGAGGAGTGGAAGGGAAGGAGGAGCGAGGGATTGTCGGGAGGAAGAGACGGGGAGAGGGCGCTGTAGGGATGGTCGCGGGATGGATGATGCCGGCGAAGATCGCGAGCGATTTTGGGAATATGGTGGGGGAGGGGTGGGAGGGGGGATGTGAGAGATGGGGGGGGGTGTCTCGTCCCAGGAGAGGCTGCTGAAGGTGAGTGAGGTCCACGCTGTGGGGGGGGGGGGGGGGGGGTCACATCGCGGCGTCTCTCTCGGGGGCTTGCTCCTGGATCGGCCAAACATCTCGGCACAGCGGGGGCACCTCTTGAATACGTGAATTGATCATACCCTGACCGACGGAGGTTATTGAGAATTTGATGATCGGTTGATTTTTTAAATCAACAACCAGTAATGCTTGAATTAATTGACCGTTAACGATGGTTGTAGACGATTGTTACTTATTGTAAAAGAAAAAAAAAGAAAAATCAACTCGTGATGAATATATGGCCTCGTGGACGATGATTAATTTCCCAGTCACCTTCGTAATGAGCAGTCCACTCCACGTGACCAGCTCGAGTTGCGGGACCTGGTCTCCTTGCAGGATCGGGTTGTCTTTCATGGCAATGTTGGTGCTCATGACGATGTTGATGCTCATCATGACGATGTTGATGGTGATCATGACGATGTTGATGGTGATCATGACGATGTTGGTGCTGATCATGACGATGTTGATGCTGATCATGACGATGTTGGTGCTGATCATGACGATGTTGATGCTCATCATGACGATGTTGGTGCTGATCATGACGATGTTGATGCTGATCATGACGATGTTGGTGCTGATCATGACGATGTTGATGCTCATCATGACGATGTTGATGGTGATCATGACGATGTTGGTGCTGATCGTGACGATGTTGATGCTGATCATGACGATGTTGGTGCTGATCATGACGATGTTGGTGCTCATCATGACGATGTTGATGCTGATCATAACGATGTTGGTGCTCATCATGACGATGTTGATGGTGATCATGACGATGTTGGTGGTGATCATGACGATGTTGGTGGTGATCATGACGATGTTGATGCTGATCATGACAATGTTGATGGTGATCATGACGATGTTGATGGTGATCATGACGATGTTGGTGGTGATCATGACGATGTTGGTGGTGATCATGACGATGTTGATGCTGATCATGACGATGTTGATGGTGATCATGACGATGTTGATGGTGATCATGACGATGTTGGTGGTGATCATGACGATGTTGGTGGTGATCATGACGATGTTGATGCTGATCATGACGATGTTGATGCTGATCATGACGATGTTGATGGTGATCATGACGATGTTGGTGCTGATCGTGACGATGTTGATGCTCATCGTGACGATGTTGGTGCTCATCATGACGATGTTGGTGCTGATCATGACGATGTTGGTGCTGATCATGACGATGTTGGTGCTGATCATGACGATGTTGGTGCTGATCATGACGATGTTGGTGCTGATCATGACGATGTTGGTGCTGATCATGACGATGTTGATGCTCATCATGACGATGTTGGTGCTGATCGTGACGATGTTGATGCTCATCGTGACGATGTTGGTGCTCATCATGACGATGTTGGTGCTCATCATGACGATGTTGGTGCTCATCATGACGATGTTGGTGCTGATCGTGACGATGTTGATGCTGATCGTGACGATGTTGATGCTGATCATGACGATGTTGATGCTGATCATGACGATGTTGATGCTCATCATGACGATGTTGGTGCTGATCATGACGATGTTGGTGCTGATCATGACGATGTTGATGCTGATCATGACGATGTTGATGCTCATCATGACGATGTTGATGCTCATCATGACGATGTTGGTGCTGATCGTGACGATGTTGATGCTCATCATGACGATGTTGGTGCTGATCATGACGATGTTGGTGCTGATCATGACGATGTTGGTGCTCATCATGACGATGTTGGTGCTGATCATGACGATGTTGATGCTCATCATGACGATGTTGATGCTCATCATGACGATGTTGATGCTCATCATGACGATGTTGGTGCTGATCGTGACGATGTTGATGCTGATCGTGACGATGTTGGTGCTGATCGTGACGATGTTGGTGCTGATCGTGACGACGTTGATGCCGATGGTGACGAGGAGGCGCTGTGCCCTCCCTTCTCCGCCCCTCCAGCCGACCTGAAGGCTCCCCTGGAGGGGCGTCTGAGGGGGTCGCTGGGCCCCCTCGTTCGCTTCGTGCGCAACTCCAAGAGGGAGGGCCTCATCCGCGCGCGCATTGCCGGGTGGCGCGAGGCCACGGCGCCCGTGGTGGCGTTCTTCGATGCGCACGTGGAGTTCGAGGAGGGGTGGTGAGACACGCGGGGGGGGGGGGGCACGCGGGGGGGGGGGGGCACGCGGGGGGGGGGGGGCACGCGGGGGGGGGGGCACGCGGGGGGGGGGGGGGGCACGCGGGGGGGGGGGGTCACGCGGTGGCACCGTCAGGGACACGGTCGCAGGCAGCGGCAGCAGCCGCCAATAGCCACTGTTGATGGTCACGGTGGTTGATGTTGTTGGTGGTGGTGTTGGTGGTGACGATCATGATATCAGTAGGGATGACGAAGTCGGTAGTGACGATGATGATGATGAATTTGGTGATGATGTTGTTGATGATGACGATGAAGTTGAAAACGATGCCGATTTAGATGATGACGAGGATGTTGATGATCACGATGAAGTTGTTGATGATGATGTTGTTGATGATGACGATGATGATAATGTTGATGATGTTGATGATGATAATGTTGATGATAATGTTGATGAAGTTGATGATGATGTTGATGATGTTGATGTTGATGATGACGTTGATGATAATGTTGATGATGATGTTGATGATAATGTTGATGATGATGTTGATGATAATGTTGATGATGTTGATGAAGACGACGATGACGATGATGATGTCGCGGTCCCGTCGTGGGCAGGGCCGAGCCGGCGCTGGCGCGGATCCGCGAGGACCGCTCCCGCGTGGTGCTCCCCGCCATCGACAACATCCGTCACGGCTCGTTCGAGGTGCAGCGCTACCACGACTCGGCCCACGGCTACAACTGGGAGCTCTGGTGCATGTACATCGCCCCGCCGCGCGCCTGGGTCCAGCGCGGCAACAAGACGGCGCCCATCAGGTGTCCCCCCCCACTCCTCGTCAGCGTCACCACCATCATCATCATCACCATCATCACCACCATCATCACCACCATCATCACCACCACCATCATCATCACTACCATCATAATCACCATCATCACCACCATTACCACCACCACTATAACCATCTTCATCATCACCACCACCACTATAGCCACCATCATTACCACCATGATCACCACCAGCAGCACCATCATCACCACCACCACCATCATCATCATCATCACCACCACCATCATCATCATCATCACCACCATCATCACCACCACCATCATCATCATCATCACCACCATCATCACCACCACCATAACCATCTTCATCACCACCACCACTATCACCACCATAATCATCATCACCACCACTATCACCATCTTCATCATCACCACCACTATCACCACCAGAAGCACCATCATCACCACCACCACCACCATCATCACCACCATCATAATCACCATCATCACCACCATCATTACCACCATTATTACCACCACCACCATCATCATCATAATCACCACCACCACCATCATCATCATCATAATCACCATCATCTTCATCATCATCACCACCATTATCACCACCAGAAGCACCATCATCACCACCACCATCATCATCACCATCATCCTCATCACCATTATCGTCATCATCATCACCACCACCACCACCATAACCACCATCATCATCATTATCACAATTATCATCACCACCATATCACCACCATAATCATCATCACCATCACCAATGAATGGCACACGGCGCTAACGATGATGCCGATGACGTGGTCGGTAGCCTTAGCGATGATGCCGATTTTGCCGATGCGGCAGTTTGGCGGCGATGATCACGGCGACAGCGATGAGAGCGATGAGAGCGATGACAGCGATGAGAGCGATGATGCTCAATGACGATGCCGATGCTGTCTCAGTTGTAGTGACGATGACGCCATTGACGATGCCGCCGCCGCTGCTGCCGCCGCCGCCGCTAGCGCTAAGTCAGCGTGCCCTTGCGTGTGAATCGAAGCGCGAGGAGCGCCGAGTGCGAGGGGCCCCTTGGGAGTCCGCGCGTCTCCTCGCATCGCATCCACCTCCCAACGACAGTCACGTGACGCGCGCTGCTGCCCCCCCCCCTCCCCCCATGAGGGTCACGTACAGAATGAACCCCTTTGGGGGGGTGGGGGGGGGGGGTCGCAGGGTGAAACTGAATGATTTAACCCCCTTTGGGGAGTGGAGGGATGAATGATTAAATCTATTGCTGGGTAGGGGTGGATGTTTGATTGAACGACTCGAGGGGGTGGTGAGAATGAATGATGGAGTCTCCTGTAAAGCTCCCAGGGGGGGCGGCGGTGGTGGGATGGGGGGGGTGAATGATTGTAAGCGATTGAATCACGTGAATCGTTCAGCTGAAATGTTCCCGCACTGAAACCCAGCCGCACTCTTGCTGATGAGGCGGCTCAGAGTAGTCAAAATTCCGTCAGAGCTTTGCTCGATTGGCAACACTCATTCACTAGGGGAGGGGGGGGGGGGTAGCGCGCCATTGCCGTTTGTGGCATCGTGACGGAACAGACCCTGGGCTGTTTCACCACACACGACCATCTCTACCCTCCGGCAAAGCACGACCCCAAGTCTCGCGTGCGACCTTTCTGACATTTAGTTTTTGTTTTGTTTCCTATAAACACAACATTCGGGGCACAGGCTCAAAACGTCCAAACGACCAGCAGACACGTGGCCACGTGAGAAGCTGCCGCGGACAAGATCCCACCTCGACCCCCGTGAGGTCTCTTCGCCTCTTCGCTCAGCTGCCGGCGATCCAACGGGGAGACTGCTGACGGATGCCGACATCTGCAAATCTTTAGACCAAAACACCTCCAAGGCAGGAAGCCGAATCGCGGAGCCGTCGGCCGTTAGATTCAACATCTGGATTCAGCGCCGTTGTGCAGCCTCCAGATTAATAGGCCACGAAACGCCCCCGCGTTGCAATCACGGCGGTCAAAATAAAATAATACGTAGGTTGTACCCTTTGTGGCCGTAATAAAACCGTTGTGTTAAGATGTTAAAACACCAAACTGAAACCTTTTGCAAGGAATCACGTCACTGCATTAACCACATCTACTTGTGGTGAACATGCCCTGGTAGTGGTTGCATTGTCTTTGCCATTGTCAAAGACAATGCAAACGCTACCAGAGAATGCCTTTTCCTTGTTAAAGGTTTAATTTTGATGTTTTAACATCTTAACGCAAATATTCCATTACCAGAAAGGGTAAAACCTATTCTTATATTTTGATGCTGGCAAGGGAGGTCCCATGATGAAAGGGCAAATCAAGTTGAACGAGTTGTGTCCCGAAATACAGAAGCATGTCGGAAGGCTCCCGGATCTAAATGTCAGATGTGTTCAAGCTTTGTCTCGCATCCTCAACGTTTGAGATTGCCCGCAGGAACATTTACGCTCGCTCGCAATCTTTTTTTCTTAATGCCGGAGGAATCCGATGAGCTATGAAGATCTTTTTCAAAGAATGTCCACAAGGACATCCGTGACCGTCCTCCAACATTCATGAGCACATCAAGTCAAACTAGAGTTCTCCCCATTTGCGCCCCCGTGTCCCCACGTCCCCCCCCCCCTTCCCGCCCAGGACCCCCGCGATGATCGGCTGCTCGTTCGTCGTTCACCGCGAGTACTTTGGAGAGATTGGGCTCTTCGACCCGGGCATGGACGTCTACGGCGGAGAGAACGTGGAGCTGGGATTCAGGGTGAGTGCCAGCGCCGGCCCTCGGCTTGGGGCCCTGGCCGCGTTGGGGCCCAGCACTACCACAGGTCCCCTTTGCTCCCCCCACCCCCCAAAGTTCACTCTGTTCATTCACGGCAAATCACTGTCACGATGCTCCCCACCGCACACAGCGGCTCTGCTGCCCTCCCCCATCCAAGACGAGCCGGAGCACGTGCCCCGACCGCACGGGTACCACGTCGGTTGTGCTCGGTGGTGCGGCCATCGAGTGTGGTGGTGCAGGTGGTCGACCGGTGTGGTGTGCAGACATCGCCACTGGGGAGACAAAGGCGGCTGGGTTGTGGTGCTGGCCACCCAACCCCTCGTGTGTCGTGCCGGCCTTCATAGGTGCTCGCTAACAGCACTTGCCCCATCTACAAGTACTTTATTGAGCCCTTTAGATAATCCACTGCTGGATGAGGGCCTCCATTACCGCGGCGGGAGCGAGGTTTGAGTTAAATGGTAGAGTGAGTGAGTGGGTAGGTGGGTGAGTGAGTAGGTGGGCGAGTGAGTGCGTGGGTAGGTGGTGAGTGAGTGGGTAGGTGGGTGAGTGAGTGGGTAGGTGGGTGAGTGAGTGGGTAGGTGGGTGAGTGGTTGGGTAGGTGGGTGAGTGAGTGAGTGGGTAGGTGGGTGAGTGAGTGGGTAGGTGGGTGAGTGAGTGAGTGGGTAGGTGAGTGAGTGAGTAGGTGGGCGAGTGAGTGCGTGGGTAGGTGGTGAGTGAGTGGGTAGGTGGGTGAGTGAGTGGGTAGGTGGGTGAGTGAGTGGGTAGGTGGGTGAGTGGTTGGGTAGGTGGGTGAGTGAGTGAGTGGGTAGGTGGTTGAGTGAGTGGGTAGGTGGGTGAGTGAGTGGATAGGTGGGTGAGTGAGTGAGTAGGTGAGTAGTTGGGTAGGTGGGTGAGTGAGTGGGTAGGTGGGTGAGTGAGTGGGTAGGTGGTGGAGTGAGTGGGTAGGTGGGTGAGTGAGTGGGTAAGTGAGTGGTTGGGTAGGTGGTGGAGTGAGTGGGTAGGTGGGTGAGTGAGTGGGTAAGTGAGTGGTTGGGTAGGTGGGTGAGTGAGTGAGTGGGTAGGTGGGTGAGTGAGTGGGTAGGTAGGTGAGTGAGTGGGGAGCTTTGTATTTGGTGGAGGCAACGCAACTGCGCCAGAGCCCACGGGGCCGAAGAGGCGCAGGCGCCAGGCGAGGAAGTGGAGGGCCAGGGGGGGGGGGGGGTGACCGAGAAGGCGACACACTTAAAGGAAGTCGACCTAAGGGAGGCCCAGGACCGATTCAGACGAATCGTCACTGGTGTTGGCCGTGAGCTGGGGAATCGACTCGGGACAAGCTCTGGTCGCCGGGTTCGTAGCGCAGTGCGCTAACCGCTGCGCCACAGCTCCCCACATATGCGCAAACACAGACGTGCAGGGCTACACCTTGACGTGCTTCTGTGCAGATCGCATGCTGCGAGTGCTGCTCTGCCCACGACTTCTCAGAAGGGCCCCGCAATGTGCTGCACGTGGGAAGCAGCCGGAGAACCGGGAGAAACCTCACCACCAATAGCGGGGAACGCTCGGGTTCCAGAACCCACTTGCTGTACTGCCCGCCTCCTGGCCACGTCACGGTCCAGCGCCGGGAGGGACTTCCACAAATCTCTTGGCGATCCAAACCAAACCAAACCCGTTCGCGCGATCCTCACGTGAAACTCCCCGTGATCGCGCGTGCGCAGCAACAGCAGAAAACAACACGGACAATCATCATAAATACTGCGCTCACAACAATCGATTCTCAAATCGATGTTCGACTGGAGCGACGTTGGCCGGGAGCGCCGTGGTTAACGGCGGAGCGGAGCCGCGCGCCCCGGAGGAGGAGTCGCGGAGCCGTGCGGACGCGCGCTCAATTACAAGCGGGCCGACCGATTTACTGCGGAGGGAGAGACAGCGCCCCCCTCCCCCCCATAGCCCCCCCTTCCCCCCATTGCCCCCCCTTCCCCCCATAGCCCGCCACCCCTTAGCCCCCCTTCTCTCCATTGCCCCTCCCCCCGTCATCCCCTCCCCTAGCCCTCCAACCACCCATACTCCATCCTGCTCCAATCTCCTACCCTCCGGCACCCCCCTACCTTTCCTCCATCCTCCACCACCCCCCTCCTTCCCTACCGATCGCCTCCCCCCTCTCCTCCACCACCCCCCTCCTTCCCCTGTACCCCCCCTCCCTCTCCCCAACTAGCCCCGGCCCCCACCCCGTCCACACGCACGCAGATTCTCTGGCCCAAACCAGAATTAATTATCTCCCAAATATTGATCGCACATTTGTTGGATCTTTTTTGTTGAATTTCTCAAAATCCTCCTCGTGCGGCGGAGGTGGAAATGAGCTTCCAGCGAGACCCCGAGACCACGGCCGCACACGCAGATTCTGCGTGCGTAGTAATCGTCGTCGTCATCGGCACTTTATCACAGAATACGAAAAACTCACACTCGTCAATTAGCACTGCCCACACAAATATAACACAGGCGGCGTTTCAGGCAATCACCCTTCTTCATGGCCATGTCGCTCTTACGAAGAAGGATCAGTGTGCGCGTACGCAACTACCACGTGACTTAAGGGGCCATTGCCCGAAACGTAGCCGATTATAACAACCACCGCCATTCGCCACTAAGTGGCGGTGACGTCACCACGGCGCTTGTGCCAGGTTAGGTGCACCTTAAGGCCACACACACACTCACAGTGTTACTACTGACGAACACGTTGAGAGTTTGTTGCTGTTGTTGTTGTCGTCTGTGCTTGTGCACCACTGCCAACGCAGCAGCAGCAGCATCAGCAGCAGCCGCAGCATCACCAACATCGCAAACCCGAGTGGCGCGAGTTCACCCTGTGGACCCTCGCCGCACAAATGTTGACGTTTCTCCCTGCGGGTGGCGGCACAAACGCAGGCGTCCAACAACCACCACCCCCGACGAGACGTGGGGGGTGATGAGGCGAAGTGGCATCGAGAGTGACAGACAACGCGGCTCGGTTATTTTCCTTACAGCCTCTAACACTGTTGGGGCAAGTGCTGTGAGCGAGTAGCACCGATGCAGACCGGAGCCGCACACGAGTGGGTAGACGGCCAGCACCATGCCCGGCCGCCTTTGTCTCCCTTGCGGCGACGTTTAACACCGGCGCACCCAGGACCCGTTCAGATAATCGTCGCCAATTTAAGGCCGTGAGCGGGAATCGAACTCGGGGTCGGCCCGGGGTCGCAGCATAGTGCGTTAACCGCCGCGCCACCGCTCCACCCACACGCGCGCGCGTGTGGGCAAAACTGACAGCACCATCACCACGACCCCACCGCGACCCCACCGCGACCCCACCACGATCCCAAGAGGGACAAAGTCATGCGTCCGACAACGCCGCCGCCGCAACCACCACCAACGCGGTGGGATTTCGCTCTCGTGAAACGGGGTGGGAGAATGATTTCCCATCCCAATTACCCAATTACAGCCCTCATTGGGTCGGAAACGCGGCGACCTTGTAAAGCCCGCTTTCCTCATGACACCACTGATTTGCCCGAGTCTTTAACGAGAGTTAAACGTACTCACGAAATCGCGGGACTGCCCCAGTATTGACTCAAAGGCGAACAACATTTTACACTTGCGCAGATTACCGTAGCCGATAATGATGATGGCGTGGGGAGCGGCGGCGCAGCGGTCAAAGCAAACCGTGGCGTGGACCCTCTGCCACCCGAGTTCGATTCCTGATTGCGATGTGCGGGACACGTGGGGGCCGAGCAGGACGGAGGGCGGCGGCTTTACCGAGACCGGCATTGGAGAGGCGGCCTCAGAGGTGGCCGGCAAGGGGAAGGCCTCTTAAGGCAGGACAAATGCAGGGCGCTTCAAAGCAATGTTTGAACACTTCTGAGAATTTGCAACAATACCACGAGAAATATGCTGCCTCAGGGCTCTGGAGAAGATTCCAGGCGTGTGTTGACAATGATGGCGAACAAGTGGAGACTCTTTAACTTGTTGAAGCTAGCAACTTACATTTGTTATCATTCTACAGTGTATCATTCATTACAATCGACAGTCCCATGTAAGTCTTAAACATGTTTTGAAGCACCCTGTATTTCCTTAGAGAACGCATCTGGCCCCATGGCCTTGTGGTCTCTGTGGCTGTCTTGGGGTCATTTCAGCAGCATTCGTGCAAACTTTGGAAATCGGTCCAGAGTTTCACGTGTCCAGAATCAACGCTGTTCAAATTATGCACCCCACCCCCGCCCCCCCCAAAAGGCCGCGGGGGCCCCGATGGGTTTGTGCAAGAGACACTTTACTCAATTATACGGAGAAACAGACACGTGAAGCGGACCGTCTGCTCTATCAATGTCGACAATTAATATTCCACCCAACGACGCCAAACGATTACTTTGTGTTGAAGCCAGAGGCGAGGCGGGGGGGGGGGGGGTGAAGACTGAGAGCGCATCTTGGAAATCTTATTAACTCGAGACTTCAAGAAGACGATGATGATGACGATGTCGCTGCGTGGTCCTCCCCCTGGGCGTGTGCGTGGCGCAGGTGTGGCAGTGCGGAGGCAGCATGGAGGTGCTGCCGTGCTCTCGCGTGGCGCACATCGAGAGGCGCAGCAAGCCGTACGTGCGCGACCTCGAGTTCTACATGAAGCGCAACGCGCTCCGAGCCGCCGAGGTGTGGATGGACGAGTTCAAGAGCCACGTGTACATGGCCTGGAACATCCCCATGAGCGTGAGTCGCTCAAACAGAGACCCGCAGGGGAGGGGCAACGTCAATTATCTCCGTTGGCTCTTCACGGGCCGTGGCGGCGGTGGTGGTAGCGATGCTGCTGGTGCTGCTGCTGCACGTGGTCGACTCTAACCCAGCACTGGAGAGGCAGCGGCAGCAGCAGCAGCGACGTGGGTTGGCGGATCACCGCACTGATGTCGTCAAACTCCCTTCCCCCGCTCGAGGCGTGGGGCCTTCTCCAAGCGCTCCGGTTTCACCCCGCACTCATAATTAATGTGGCAGCATCCTCCTGCACAACAGTCACACGACTCACTGTGGCGTTCCTGGATAAATGAGTAATGAGCAACACAAATATATCACGATAAATTATAGCTCTTCGCAAGGGTGGCCTGGGCTACATCGAGTAATTTTCAAGTCACGATCGTAACTGCAGTCCAACATTGCATGCTCCGCTTCACATCGGTTTGTGGGAGTGCATGAGAGGAACGTCGGGGGCTTACATCGTGGTCTCTGTGTCCGTCACGGGGTCAGCGTCTCTTCGTGTCGTCTCACCGGCCCCCAATACCCCCTCCACCACGCCCTTCCCCTCATTTGCATAGACCCCCCCCCCCCACGGTGAGCACGTCACGTGCGCCCCCCACCCTCGGCACGTGCCTCCATCACGCTCCGCCACGTGGTCGCCGTTGAGGGATTTTGTTGTTGTTGCCGCAGTCGCGTTTGGCTGCGAGCGTCTTCCCGCAACGATGAGGATAAAATAAACAACAACAACAAACACCAGCGGCGGCAGCAGCGGTGCGCGAGTGGGAGGCGCGGCACCGCCATGACGTCACTGAACTCCTCGTCCTGCACGGCCCGTCCCGCTGTGCGCATGCCCCCCACATGCCCCCCACATGCATCCCTCTCCTGCGCCTTTCGCTCTCTCCGTCTCTTAACCCCTTCCTGCACCGCGCTCTCATCTGGCTCACTCCGTGCCTCCCTCTCTGGCTCTCTTCCTACCTTCCACCGTGCCACCCGCCCATCTCTTTCCCGGATTCTTGCCCTCCCCGACCTCCCTGCGACCCTCTCTGCCTCCCTCTCCTCCACCTATCAATTAGCCTGCTCACTGCCACCCTCTTCTCCTCTCGATTTCCCCAGCCGCTCTCCCACCCCATCTCTCTCGAAACATCCTCGCCTCTCTCACCCTCTCCCACCCTCCCACCCTCTCCCCCTGGCTCTCTCCAACCCTCTGTCCCACCCTTCTCACTTGCCTCCCCCTCCCTGTGCCTTCCCCTCCTCCGCTACCCCCCCCCCCCCCCACATCAGAACCCCGGCATTGACATCGGCGACATCACGGAGCGAGTGGCCCTGCGTGAGCGGCTCCAATGCAAGAGTTTCGAGTGGTACCTGGACAACGTGTACCCCGAGATGCGGCGCTACAACAACACGCTCGCCTACGGCGAGGTGCGTGCCCACCACCGCCCACCCATACCTCGCCTTCGATGGTCTACATTTTATAATACTGGGGTGCGCTTCAAAAATAAATGTTGACACTTCAGAGAAATTGCAACAATACCACAAAAAGTGTTGTGCTTCCGGGCTCTGGAGACCACCTGGAGAAGATTTCGGGCGTCCGTTGACAATGATGGCGAACAAGTGGAGACTCTGACTTTTTGAAGCTTATTAACATTACATTTGTTATCATGTTACAGTGTATTCGTGATTTTTCCATTAAAAACGATAGTCCCATATAAGTGTTAACATTTTTTAAAAGAGTTATCCCAATTGCGCTATCGCCCTCGTCGGCGTCGCCAGTCGCGGCGCAAATACAAGTCAAGCCGCTTTACTCGCCGCACGCGCCGGATGATGGCGACACGCGTCCCACGCGACGCAGAGAGCGCCGAATCAAATTGAGATGCAAAATAACAAAGACGACGTCGCGCCTACTACCACCTGCCCACACTTGTCTCTCCACGTAAAACGAAACTCAAATTACACATCTAATCGGCCACACGGCCTTCTGGGAGTTATTTGTATTTCAACAGCATTGCTTTAATAAAAGCAAACACCGGACCCGTTGCAACTTTCAGTGTCTCATCAGCAGAGTAATGATTATTTCGCGGTACAAATGAAGATAGAGGTCTTTGTGTGTGTGTGTATGTGTGCACGCGGGTCCCAAGTGACGTAGAGGGCCGGTTAAAATTAATTGGATTGCAGTGGGAGTGTCACACGAGCGCCACGGGTGGGAACTGCTCAAAGTCAATTTAAACTATTTTCTGATTAACAAACCTTCTCAAACCTGTGGGGGCATGGCAGCCCGGGACACGCCGCAGCTGATGCGTGCGTGGCCCTCAAGAGGAGAGCCGCTCGATTTCTGGATTGGAAGTGGCATGAGCATCATGGCCGAACGTCAAGAACGACGAAGGGAGTGGCGGTCAAGGAATGGGACGAGTCCGAGAGGACGCCCATCGCGGAGATGGAGCGAGAATAACAATTGAGACTTGTAGCGCGCCGCACAGGATTCGCGCGCTCTCGAAGCGGGGAAGGCAGCAGCCACTCAGTGTGCCGGCATCAACTCCCCTCCCCCCCCCAGCTCTGAAGTCCTCTATATATGAAGGTGTTTTCAGCCAATTAACAAGTATTTTTACCAGTGGGAGGAAACCGGAGTACCCGGAGAAAAATCTACATGTGCGAAGGTCCAACACTGTATCCCATACAGATGGAAACAGATGGAGATTAGTCCGCACTTTGCCGCACAGTCTTCTCTCGGCAAGCCAGGGTATGCACAGGAAGATTGTGGGGGTCACACAATGTTTGTGTGATCCACCAACTAACATTTAACAAATAACTTAATGTGCAGTGGCTAAGGTCGATTGTTACGTTGCAGGATTAGGGGAGATGGCAGCAGCTTGGATGAGGCCTTCATACCAGCAGTGGATTCGTTTTAAAACTCTTCACTGCCGCGATCGTTCAAAACTCCCACGTCAATGACCGCGTCCATCATCATTCACAGGACGCTTCGCTCCGACGCGCGACAAACCCCCGACATGGGGCCGGCTCGATATCCCACGCAGGACCAGGCACGATCAAAACACGGGAGATCAGACGGAGCAATTTCCTCGCCAAATACCAGCAGGGAATTCATTCCATTTCATTGCCAAAGTAAAATCACAACTTCATTGATTGACTAATTGAGCCGCGACTGAGGTATAAAAAAAACTTGGCAGGATCCCTCCCGAAGTAAAAGTCTTGAGACTCGTGTTTTCCTGGTTAACGCGACTCAACCTTAAACGGCTCAAAACATCTTAATATGTAGAGGACTGCAGAGATTGGGGCAGAGGGGGGTTTGGAGCCCCTTTATCATTGCCTGGCTGCTGCTGCTGCTGCCTTCCATGCTCGTCCGTGGTTCTTCCTGGCACCTCCGAGTCGTCCGCGGATCCCTACGCAGCGGCGCCCCGCTACAAGTCGACAAAGTAATTCTCAAACGAGCATAAATAGATTTAGTGCAGTCACGGCGTGGCTTGTTAAACTTTGTACGTATGTATGTAGAACTTCTTTCGCACCGTACGTAGCGAACCGTACTTTGGTATAGTATGTCAAACAATTTCGGTCTGGAATTCAGATTTTTTTTTGGTTTTAAAAAGGGGTTGCCGTCCCGTGTGCAGATGAGGAACAGCAAAGCGAACAACTTCTGCCTGGACCAGGGACCCCCGGAGAACAACACGGCCATCGTGTACCCGTGCCACGGGTGGACGCCGCAGGTGGGGCAACCACGGCAGGCGACGAGTCGCCACGCTCGGCCTCGCTGTGACACCGCACCACGACACGCCTCGCCACGCCTCACAGATGCCACGCAATGGCGCACCTGGGCAAGCCACACCGTGGCGCACGCCACGCCACACCAACACGACACACCGCAACCACGCCAGGGTACACCGCGCCAGGGTACACTGCACCACGACATCACCGTACCACGAAATCACCGCACAAAGTCTCAATCTTGGGTCACGAGGGCTCGCGCATCCCCGCCGCCCATCGTCAAGCAGGACGCGGGCAAGGTGGTGGCGGTGTGAGTGGTAGGCAGCACAGCCGGCGGTTGCAAAATATATGGGGGGGAGGGGGAGTCGGGGGCACGAACATGATTTCCAACGCCACTGCTTCGAGCAGAATTTCTCAACTCCACTCCATGCGACCCCCCCCCCCATGACGGTCCAACATTTAATGACTCCCAATCTCATCTCACCCTCCTAACTCTCCCCTCTCGTATCACTCCACTCCCCTCCACGCACTTTCCTCCCTCTCATCTCACTCTACTCCCCTCCACGCACTCTCCTGCCTCTCCCCTCTCATCTCACCCGACCCACCTCCAACAGCCAAGGCAAATCTGTCGAGGCCCCCGGTCAACCTTCTCTCAGTGGGCGTCGCTCAACCTCCTCTGCCGCCCCCACGGTCGGGAACTCCCTTCCCCCAGCCACCCGTGCTGTCGACTCCCTGTCCCATGGTCCAACCCAGGCTCCGGAGTGGCCTCTTCTCCTCTGCCGAGTGACCGACTGCCTCTCTCTCTATAATCGCAAGCGCAGTTTCTGTACGGCACCTTGAGCTGCTGCCACATCCACGTTCTATCGTTGTGTTACTCCTCTAAGGATGCATTAGGCAGCGCGTGAGACCGGCACGCTTTGCCAAATAGGGACTCGTCAGTGAGTCGCGACCACACCACCAGCCGATAACGACGGATACGCGCAGTCCGGCGCGTATACCGTAGCATGCAATGCACTCCGTGGTACTCAATGTGTACCGAGCGTAGACGTAATGCGCCCACATTTGTGCCAATTTGCATATCTAAATTGGGCGCACATTTGAGAAATGGGTCAGGTGATATTGCCTCTTAAGGCCGCATTCAATTAATGGGAAACTCTACGCCAAAGTAAGTTTTAATTGGCAATTATCCATAACTGGCGTGCACAAATTAGCCTGGCGGCCCAAGTTGAAGCGCAAGAACCGAGGCGGGCATGCCGCCGCATTCCGCGCGAATTGCCGACCGCGTTGATGTCCCAGCCATGCGAGCAGCGACATTGGCGAGAAATTCACGCACGCGCGCACGCACACGCGCGATAATAATAATAACAATATTCTACAGCCCATTGCCATTCCATTTCTGTATGTATGTACGTTGATTATTTTGCTACCGTACGTAGCCAACCGTGCCTCCCCATACAAAGACAAAGATCCACCATGTAGCCTTCACAGACGCTCGGGGCAAGTGGTGTTAGCGAGCACCTATGAAGGCCGGAACAGCACGCAAGGGTGTGGGTGGCCAGCACCACGCCAGCCTGCCTTTATCTCCCCAGTGCCGATGTTTTCAAATCACACCAGGTACTAATTTGAGGCCGAGTCGACCTAGGGGAGGCCCAGGACCGGTTCAGATAATCGTCACCGGTGTTGGCCGTGAGCGGGAATCGAACCCGGGTCGCCGGGTTCGTAGCGCATTGCACTAAGCGCTACACTACCGCTCCCCATGCACATACACATATGTATGTACACACACGTCCAATGCTTTTGTCAATGCACTGCTGGATTAGGAGCTTCTCCACACCGTGTGGGTCGTGGGGGTCAATTGATCGCAATATTGGTCAGCGCGAGCTGGAAAAGCCGGGGAAGCAGAGACGTGCGAGCAGAGTACAGTACAACGATTGGTTTTAATGGATATTTCTTCATTGCCCTCAGCTATAACCGATAACGACCAATCTTATGCACGCTCGTGCAATTCCCAGGAGGTGGAATTGAGCCTAATCAACTGCAAAACCAATCGCAATATGCCAAGGCCCTTCCTCAGAGTGAGCGGCGACCGCTACACTTGAAACACCCGGTTTGAGCGCAGGTGGCTTGTAACCTGGATCCGAAGCGAGGTTCTCCAGCTGTACCAACTCAGCGCTGCCGAGCGCGAGAGTCTGGCTCCTGCCGCTGCCCAGTGACAGTCCCGTTACCGCACCTGCCACGCGTCCCGTTTAACGCGGCCATCCATTGGCACGGCCAGCGTCACTGGGCAGGTGAGTTAGCCCGACACGTTGACGGGTGACACGGGCCAGCGACGGTGCCAGGGATACCGTGGCTGCATTGTCCACCAGAGCGACCGAGACGTTAGCCAGTCAGGGCTGAGGAACTTCTTCACCTGACTCCGAGGTCGGATCGGACTTTCGACCACCTTCGGCGGGCAACCATTACATGGACACGAGAGGCCCTTGCAGTGACAAGAGGTGGCCGATCACGAGGGTGTCGTTGCCTCGCGAAAGATGGCCCCCTCTGGAATCCATTGAGTGCAGCTCAGATGCTTGGGAGAACAGATAAAACATCGTTTGCGGGCCGCGTCGAAGTGGTTAAGCCTCACGCCCCCCCCACCCCCGTGCCCGCGTAGAATGAGGTCGAGGGCTGTACCCGGCCTGTGGGCCTCGCGTGCCTCGCGCCCGGCCTAGACACACCAGAGGCCCCGAGCTCGACGCCGTGTCCCACAGGCCCAGCCGCTTGGCACGGGGGAACCCGTGGCACAGAGGCCGCACATCCCAAACGGAGGACCGCACAGCGAGCGGACCACGGGCATGCGCAGTGCATCCCGACAGCTGTGGCAGAGGCGCCCGAGTGGCACAGATGTGGAGCGGTAGCAATGTCGCTAACAATGTTCACGACAATGCCGGGGGGGGGGGGGGGGGCAGAAGCAAACAACGGCGCAGCCCTCGGCCCACGCAGACGAAGCTCCCTCCGCATGAGCGAAGCGCAGCCTGGCCGCGTCCCGCGAGCAGAGGTCGCGGCGAGAGCGTGGTGTGCGTGCGTTCAGCGGTGAACGAGTGCGTGTGCGACCTCAAGAGCAAGAACGATGAGAATGTCGGCTGCATGCAGTGCGAAATAAGTTCAACATACATAAATAAGAGAGTGCTTGCAGAGCGTGAATGAGAGCGAGTGTGTGCGAGTGAGAGTGTGGTGTGAGTGACAGAGTGGTGCATACAGAGTGGTGTGTGTGTGAGAGCGAACGCGAGCATGCCAGCCATTATATGGAGTGGTAGTGTAGTAGCGACCAACACCAGTGCTGAATGTCTGAACCAGTCTTGGGCCTCCCCTAGGTCGACTCGGCCTCAAATGAGTACCTGGTGCGATGTGTTCCGCTAGGGAGACAAAGGCGGCCGGGCGTGGTGCTGGCCACCCACCCCATCGTGTTTCATCCCAGCCTTCATAGGTGCTCGCAACAAGCGGTTGCCGCAACAGTCTATTACGCCTATACGGGGGATCTTTGTCTTTGAGCTATTGTCAGAGAGTGGTGCATGTGGAACGTGAGACAGCAAGTGTGAGAGTGTGAGAGTGAGCGAGCCCCATCTGGCTCTGTAGCGTTGAGCGCTCCGACATTGCCACCCGCTCGTGACGTCACCGCCGTCGCCTCCGTGATTAAGGCAATTGCCACTCGTCAAGCGCAAATTGACTTTAGGCAATTAGAGCGATGATACATTCACAGAACCTAGAACGCACGTCCCGACAATCGCGTCCCATTACCCCCGCTAATGGGGCCTGCGCAACAACAGAGCGCCGATTTCATTAGGAACCAGAGATTTCGCCTCCTCCTACTCTCCCTTCCTCCTCTTCCTCCTTCCAAGTACTCCCAGCGATCCCAAGTCTCGACACATTCTCACAATTGTCAAGCCTATTGCGGGGAGAGAGAAAAATAGCAAAACTCGCAAATGTGCGTTCTCCTTTGCCTACTGGTGTAGCTGTCGGGCGTGCCATCATTGGACCTCCGATGAGCACGTCTGGCTACGTACGGTGTGAAAGAAGTTCAACGTACGTACGTGCAGGCATTGCAACTGCACCGGTGGCCGCGGGCCGGATTGGCCCAGCTGCTGAGGGTGGGGGTCATTTAATTCCTTAAATCACGGTCCATGCCAATGACGGACGTCACTGACAACCACCACCACCCCCACCACGACCGCGACGAAGCGAGAGCCGCCCCCGCCTCCCCGTGCCCCCCTGGGGGCTGACGAGCGCCCGGGCGACGGCGCTCGTCGTCGCGAGGCCGCGGGCGCCGTACTCCCTGGCTCGGAGCCAGGCTCGGAGCCAGGCTCGGAGCCAGGCTCGGAGCCAGGCTCGGAGCCAGGCTCGGAGCCAGGCTCGGAGCCAGGCTCGGAGCCAGGCTCGGAGCCAGGCTCGGAGCCAGGCTCGGAGCCAGGCTCGGAGCCAGGCTCGGAGCCAGGCTCGGAGCCAGGCTCGGAGCCAGGCTGCGCGCTCCGCTGAGCCTGCAGCCCGGCCCGCTCCTTGTGATGGAGCAGAGACGGGGACGACGCGATTCGGAGTTAGGGATTTGGGGGCGGGTGTACTCCGAAATAGGATTAGGATTCCCTAAACAGGGTTTGGGGAAGGGCATTGTCAATATCACCACCACCACCAACCACCACCACCACCAACAACCACCGCCACCCATAAACCACCGCCACTGTCACCAACCATCACCATCACCCAGCACTACGCCAGGGTCGGATTGGAATCTTGGCAGACGTGCGACCGCGACTAACGGCGCAGACCATTCACACCCAGAGGCACAGGGGCCAAACAGCATCGAGGCCTCTGGTTATATAAAACACACAACACCCACGATTTAAGGAATAATGATGTAAATTTCACACCGTAGGCTTTCGGGACCAATATCATTCGTCGTATTGAAGGGTTTTTTGGGTTAGACCGCGTAAATGTGTCGCTAACCCACCACCACCCGACACGGCCAATTAGTGAGGTTTGTCACGTAAACAAGGAAATTGCACCTGGTAGGCCCACAGTGATGACGTTACCGTACTCTGTTTAAGACCAGGAAACAGGAAGACTTCTTCACAATTATGGCAAAATCGCCTGATGAAGCTGGTTGTAAAAACGTCGTACTCTAATTGTACACGTTGTGCGTCTATTCTTCGACACACCGGTGTGCTCAAGTAGTAACTAATTTCACGTTTTATTTACGTTATAGCCCTTACTAATTGGCCGCGTCGGGTGGGTTAACGACACATTAATATTTACTTCATCTAACACAATTGTATTTATTTATTATAAATAATAATGTCACCAAAATATGAACCGTGGACTTCGACAAAGTAAACGGAATAAAAGATCACGAGCGGGCAGCCAAGCGTGGAGGGGTGGAACGCTCGAAATTTCCGCGAGAGGCATGGGGAGAGACCCGCGGGCCAGAGAGAAGGACGACACCGCAGGTTAGAGACGACGTCCCGTGACCGGTAAGCACATTCGGTGGGCTCGGGGCAGGACACGCCGCCTGGAGGAACGATGGGCGAAGCTACGGAAGGGGCGCCACGGAGACGAGATGTTAACCGCCTCGCCTGGTATGCAGGAGGTCGTGGGTTCGATCCCGACCCTGACTCCTGGCTCCTCCGGTTTTTCCCTCCACATTTAGAATCAACGTGCGTTTAGAGGATTTGGCTGCTATAAATGTCCACGTGATAAGCCACTTCGTTGAGCTATCATTTGGGGCCTTACCTGGCAAAAAAAAAAAAATGTACGGTTGAGTTTTAAGGACACAATGCCGAGAGGATGTCCCGCCACACGGCATTACATCAGATCGCGGGCAGGCGGTTCGTTTGCAGAGAAGGCGATGGCTCGACAAGGCATTCATCCAACAGCGAATAGATCGTGACCGACGATACATTTTAACAACAACAGCAACAAACAACCGTTGCGGCACGCAATGTTCGGGTCGCGTGCGTGGAGTCTCGGGGTTCTCGGTGGGGGTTGTCTCTTTGTGCCGATTAATCCGCGAATGCGCCGCCGAGTGAGAGTGGCTCAGCCGGATTTTTCTCTCCGTGGCACAAAACGGCGTCTCGACCTCAGCAGATTAAGAAGTGCGCGGTGGCGAGGAGGGGATGGGAGGGGGGTGGGCGAGAGGGGGGTGGGGGGAGGAGGATTGGAGTTGGGGGAAAGCGCTGGAGCCGAGTGTGGAGTTGGGCCTCAGCCAATTCAGTCACTGGCCCCGTCCAGCCAGCCACCGTCACCACCGTTAATGTGAACATCGCCAACAAATAAAACCAACCTTCCATCACCATTACTGCAAACATCATCATGCACTATTCACCCACTACCACCACCACCACAGTAAACATCACCACCAACTCGCCCATACCAACCGCACACCGTTTAAACACTTTTACCGCATCGCGATTTTCAACGCTAAATCATGTCACTTCACCAACAGTGGCGGGGAAGCAAAATGGACGCAATTCATGCTTTGACAATGAATTCAATAACCGGCAGCGTACCACAGGACTTAGACGGAGATCCGAGACAACACGTCGACTTGGATAGCTACAGACTTACACAGCGGCATCGCTAGCGCGTGTGTGCAGGAGGTGCACCGCACCGTGCCTTTTAGAGGTGTGACCGAAGTGGCCCAGACCCCCAGGGCTCTGAAGAAATGGGGGAGGGGGCAATTGGAAAGGAGGCCCCTTTTTATCCCCTGCACCGGGGGCCCCACGCCGACCACGCGTGCGTGCGTGCGTGCGTGCGTTGCCTTTGACCTGCGCCCGCAGCTGGTGCGCTTCACGGCGGATGGGCGTCTCCAGGTGGGGGCGACGGGCTCCACCACGCAGGTGCCCGACACGCGCTGCCTGCAGGACGACGGGTCCACGCGCCGCCCGCGCCTGCTGCCCTGCCGGGGGCCCGGGCCCGACACGCGCGACAACTGGGAGTTCACGCAGGTGCGTGTGTGTGTGTGCGCGCGTCTTTGTCTTCCTAATGTATGTGGGGAGCGCTGGTGTCGTGGTCAGCGCGCTGCGCTTCGAACCCAACGACCCGAATTCGATTCCCGTTCATGGCTAACACCAGCGATGATTTTTTTTAAACAATCTTGGACATCTCCTAGGTCGACTCAGCCTCTACTGGACATCTGTGAAAAAGACTTCATATCTCATCGGATTCCTCCAGCATAAATATTCTGATTCTGAAATTAGTAGACGGTGAAGTGTGGTTTTGGCCACCCACCCCCTTGCGTGCCATGTCGGCATTCACACATCCACTCCAACACCCACGTGACAAACTACACAACTACCCCGAGCCTGGCTCGTTTTCAGATCACGTCCTTCCAGGTGACATCAATTCTGACATTGAAAACACTGTAACAACATCTGCCCCTACAGAACGGACCCGTGGTAAACCGCAAGACCCGGCGCTGTCTCGAGGTGGAGTCCACGCCCAGCGGCCTGGAGCTCGTCATGCACGTGTGCTCGGGCCAACAGTGGAACATTCGCAACCTTCTGTGAGTGCGGATCACGGGACTGGGGACTCCTGTGAGCGAGCGTCGTGAGATTCAATCACCCGGTGAAACGGCCCTCCTTGTGGTTGAGAGGGTTGTGGAAACGTTCAAAGCGGTGGGCAGCGCATGGCAGATTATCAGCATTCTGCAAGAGAGAGAGGTTTAGAAAGTCAAGAGGAGAGAGCGAGGATTTCTGAGCCGCAACCACCTGAGAGAGAGGAGAGTGACGGGAACGGTCACTGTGGTGGACAGAGTGAGGGGGAGCGCTCCGTCCCCCCCTCCCTTGGGAGGGAGTGAGCAAGCCGCGGTGAGCTCACGGTGAGAGTGGAATTCCGAGAATTGACCCTCTGAGAGAGTGCGAGGGGATGGCTCACGGAAGAGGAACGACGCCCGACGCTGTGCCCCCCTCCCCCCCCCGCAAGAATCCTCGCTCACAAAAGTCCGCCCCAACTTTTGCGCGCACAGTATATCTTTTTTTGCCAAATGTAACTTTGGAAACGCCTTAAAAGTCGACTCAGAAAAGCAAGTGCATGAACGACAATACTTTTACAGGTAGGTGTTTAAATTAAATGTACGTGTACGTCCGTCTTCGGCGTTTGACTTATAGCGGCCATCTCGGTGTTTTTAATTTCTAACGGCAGCTCCTCGTGCCCGACGTCGAACCAGCTGTACGGCGCTGCCAATGTAACCCAGCCGAGGAAGAGGCTCGTGATTTTGTTTTGTAGGAGACAGCGTGTGGGGGGGGGGGGGGGTTAAGGTTACGTGTCTCATCACGGCTGTTTCGTGGTCACTTTCGGGAAAGACAATCCGTCCCGTAGGAATGGGCAGCGCACTTTTGCCACAAGAACCCGACCCCCACTGCAACTCCTGCCCCCCCCCCCCTACCGCCGCCACCACATTCACATCACCACCTCTGAATGATCAACATCAGAACAACAACGACAACAACAATTCCACCCACCACCACAGTTAAGATTTAATTCACATCGCACCCCTCACGATGAAGTGCTTCACGAGCCCCTGAGTGCTGCGTAATGTGTTCAAGGAAGGAAGAAAAAAAGGTTAATGATGAAACAAAAAATTGCCAAGGCCAGTTTACGAGATCCATTTTGTAGAACATTAGCGGGAATCTCAAGAGTCGCTTGCCGAGGGAGCGAGAGTTAACGTCACCACATTTAAATAATTAATATATAATTATAAAAAATGTATTCGTCCCCACGAGGGGCTGAAAAGAGCTGCCAGACACACCGATACGATGCGTGCAAAGTGTCACATGCAGCAGCATTGTGTGGTATACAATGCATGACCCTCTTGTCACGTTGGTGTGTGGTGTTAATACAAGGGTGTGTTTCACCAACAACAAATTAAAGTAACTCACAAGTCCATCGCACTAATTGGCCTTCCAGACAAACATTTCCCAGCAGCGGTTGACAAGCAGCAGGAAAATTCTGGACTGGCTTCCCGATCCTCGTCCCATTTTAAACAATTCGCCGCCGTTATCGGCAAAAAGCTCCTCGCTGAAGCCCACGGGGACGTGTGCAGCGCGGTTACAATTCCACGTCCTTGACACTGCTGATGAACTCTGGGAACTGCGGCCCCCTAAGGGGGGGCTGCAGCCCCTCGCGCCTGACCCCAGGGGGGGTCTCGTGCTCATCAACTCCGAAATCCCGACCTTGGGTCGTTAAGAGGCCTCCTGATGGATCAGCAGCCCGGCTGCCTCTCACAGCTCCCACACAGACACACAAAGACGGAGCCAACCCCAGCCAGAGCTACCAGACACTCGACAACCACCGTGAGACACAACATCGCCACTCGCTCGCCCGCCCAGACACACTTTGCTCACAGGCTGCAACGTGGCGGATGATGCCCCCTCCGCTTCACCGTGAGCGCAGCAGTTTCCTCACCTATTCGTCTAATCTCTTCCCTGCAAGTACAATATAATCATCTGAACCGTTTAGATTTAAAGCTTTCGTGACTGATTACGTTACAGTATAATTTCTTCACCGATCATAGTCTGATTGTTTCACGACAGTATCGCTTCATCTCTTCAGTTTAAGTACAGTCTTACCTTGTAAGTTCAGCATCAGGTATTCACCAAGTAGGGATTTCTTAAAGTACACTATCATTGCAAGTGCTGTAATGTCTTCACGAATTACAGTTATATTATTTGCATGTATGGTATCGTTACACTGCAAGTAGTACAGTATCATGTCTTCACTATGCTCGTGTCACGGCACACACACGAACACGACTACAGCATCATGATCATCATGGTGTTGTTAGAGGTTTGCCTTTCAGTGCCACAGCAGCAAATTGGGTTGAGAGCGATGGAGATGGGACAGGGGAAGTGTTCTGTTTTATTCATATCGAGAGGTTATACCTCTCCTGAAACAGAATCCTCGACGGGAATTACACGTGGATCAGCCTTCAGCACATCCCCCCCCCCATAGCCTTCAGCACACACGCTTGGGAGGCCATGCGCTGTGAGCGGGCAGCACCTAGGAAGGCCGGCACAGCACACGAGAAGAGAGAGGGGTGGGGGGTGGGTGGCCAGCACCACCGTCCAGACAGCTCTGCCCCGCCAGTGTTGTCGTTTTACACACCGCACCAGGTACTCATTGTAAGGCTGAGTAGACCTAGGGGAGGCGCAGGACCCGGTGCAGATAATTGCCACTGTTATTGGTCGTGAGCGAGAATTGAACTCGACGGGTTCCTAGCGCCGTGCGCCAAACCACTGCGCCACCGCTCCCCACTTACAAACACACGGACGGACAACAAGCATTGAGGCTGAGAAACTGATAAGCCATAAAGCCATGATTATTAAATAAATGTAGTGTAACCAATTAAAGTCGAAATATGTATGAGGTTGTTTTGGGTTAGATTGCGTAAATATGTGTGTGCCGTTAAACCCGCCACCACCCGCCACTTAGTAAGGGTTATCACGGAAACAGAATATGGCCAATTCGTCACGATTCCAGCACACCGCTGTGTTGGAGAGTAAACCCACAGCATTTACAATCCGAGCACGACATTTCGCCAAATATCCATATGCGAACCTCGTGTACAAACCACGAGGATGCATCAACCACAAAATCATTCACATATTCCATGGCCCATTATGACGTCGCGTCATTGATCCACGCAATTGGTCATGGGGCACTGTTTGGCCATACTTCACCACGCTGGTCAATGCGAGTTCGGGAAGGGAGGGGGGGCAGCCAGGACAGGTTTGAATACAGCTCGCCACTTAACCATAGACCCACACCCCCCGTGGCGTAGCAACGACGTTATCAGCTCAGGGGGGTGCGGCAATCGGTCAGTTGGGGCCCCCCAATATTTGATTTGTCTTGCACGGTCGCACCGAGGGTGTCGTCGTCATTATTATTATACATCGCGGCTCTTTCCTAGTACCTTCCCCCAATTCGCTCCGGAAGCAGGGCTCTGCTCCTCTTCACTGGATACGCGATGACAACAACAACAACATAGAGGCAAGCGTGCGGTGCGCAATTTGCGGCAGCCAAACGTTCCTCCCCTCATTAAGTTTTCATAAAAAAAAGTATTTGAAACCGCGTTTTAAATAAGTTTCTTGTTCTTTGACACTGTTGTTGAAAACAGATCTCGGGGGGCCCCAACTCGTGGTTTTGGCCAGCAGTGGTGGTGGGTGGGGGGCAAGGCACCCCCACGCTCGTGACACTGCTGCCAACCCCGTATGCCCACCATCGTCAGACGTGCTCTACCCACTGCTAGCTGAAGGCCTCCCTCCTCAAAGCCGTCGCCATCTCTCACGGCCAATGCGATGTAAACAATGTAAACGATCCATATAGCGAACGCGCACACGAGCCGATTACATCGCTCCATCTCTGCAGGAGACGTCCTCCACTTTTCTTCACGGTAAAAATGTATATCTCTAACCCGCGTATATTCTCTAATCCACGTGTTCGTCTTCCTGCGTGAGTGCAATTCCGAGCATGAACCTCTCCCCATGTTTTACCATCATGATCTACCCACTGCTAGATGAAGATGAATACGAGGTCTCTATCCTAAGCATTGTGCTCCAACCCCACGCGTCCCTCCATCTGTCTGGTGGTGTAATCCTGGACTTGGCAAACACAACTCACTACCCCCCCCACCACGAACCGTGGGGGTCACGCGGGCCCCCCAAATTCAAGCCCATAAAAAATGCACCCCAAGACCGACATCCCCACCCGGTGGAGATTGCACTGCCACTTCACACTGCGGTTAGCATTGCGGTACGCGAGATGTAATGATTACAGATGAATAATATATAGACCTAATGTATTATACATGAATGACGTGTTCGATCATTTAAAATTAGGTTGGTTGGGGAGAGGGGTGGTGAATGCGTGTGTATGTTTGCGTTTATGTATGTATGTTATGGGTGGAACCATGCATCAATTGCCATGTCCTACCGATTGTACGACGCTCCGGAAAGTAAGACGCACCCCATAACTCAAGCCCGATGTCCATTTGAAGTTACAGTAAACAAATCACACACACACACACTACCGACTTGTAAGACGCACTCGCAACTTAAGCTTTAAAATGCAGGGGGAAATGGTGCTTCTTACATTCTGAATATTGCCGTAAATTTTTAATCTTCAACTAATCGAATCGCGTGCATTGTGTTAATGAGGCGCTACAATACACCATACAGAGACTCCTCTACTTACGAACACCCGACTTACGAATTTCAAGAGATACAAACAAACCTGTCCGTATGTCCAGTTACCTGTTCAGATCGAGAGTCGCAAGTTCAACCACCGCACAATAGATGGCGGTGGTGGCACCTACATCTGTAGAACGTGAAGAACCAGTGGCATCTACAGAACATGAAGAACCAGTGGCATCTACAGAACATGAAGAACCAGTGGCATCTACAGAACATGAAGAACCAGTGGCATCTACAGAACATGAAGAACCAGTGGCATCTATATCTACAGAACATGAAGAACCAGTGGCATCTACATCTGCAGAACATGAAGAACCAGTGGCATCTGCAGAACGTGAAGAACCAGTGGCACCTACATCTACAGGAGATTATACAAATGTTAAAGCCATTCCCTGTGTTTAGTGTACAAGCCGTACAACATGTTTGGAATAGACAGGAGTAAAGTTGGACTCACGACCAAACCGACTTACAAACAGACCTCTGGAACCTAACTCGTTCGTAAGTAGAGGAGTCCCTGTAATGTAACTAAATTCTAGTATTTAATTGTATCTCGAGCATGGTACTGCTGTAATCATATAAATATAAACAAAAACTCACACTCGGCAATGACAGCATGGACCTAAAATGAAAAGAATATAAAATCCGGCGACGTTTCAGACAACTGCCCTTCATAGCACAGGGTCATTTCCCGAAACGTCGCCTATTATATGCTTCTAGTGTAGGGCAGTGTTATTGACGAGTGTGGCAATAAAAGGAAAAAATATAACGGGCGACGTGTCGGGCAATGACCCTGTGCTGTGAATTAGGTCCATTGCCTAAAACGTCTTTATATTTTGTTTCCGTTGAAGGCCCATGGTGTTATTGACAAATGTCGAGTTTTTGTTATCTGTGCACCATATGCCAACGCACCAGCAAACGTCTACAATTCCATAGTTCCACCCCTAAGTGTGCGTTGTGTAAATATCAAAGACACATCAGCAATTTAACATAATCATGAGAGTATATATATACACAAACATATATGGGATTGTGTGTGTAAAGCGTGCGACTTGAGAGTGGCTCTGGGAGTCGATCTGAGCACGTGCGTCTCTCTCCACGTGCGTCTCTCTCCACGTGCGTGCGCTGAACAAGAGGCCCGCACAGCTAACCCGCTCGTACATGTTCCATTTTAAGAGGGCTCACACAACTCACAACATACGGATGCATTTCGACATGTATATTTTGTGATATTACCTAAACATTGCTATGCTATACGCTCATGTTGCAGCCCCAAACCATCGGTTATTAAATCACGGCCATCATCATCAACAACAACAACAATCTTCATCATACTCTCCGGTTCTTTCCGTAAAGTCACGTAGATAGAAAAAAACGACGTTTCGGTCGCAAAACAAGCGTCCGTCTTCAGGTGTGAAATCATCATATTCTACTCGGGTCGATAAAATAAATACCTATTTGTGGAAATCCCACAAAGGTTGCCCGCACGGAGACACGTGGCTCACGCCAAGTACATGTGCATGCACTCTATAGCCCCCTTTGGTCATGAATCTACCGACTGGATGAGGGTCGTAAGTTGTTGTTTTTTGTACCACACTTAACCACCACGCTCGCTAGTGCCGAATGTGGGCAACAGACGACACAGTTCAGCAAAATAAAAATTTGCTGAACCGCGCCTCTACGTAGCGCCGCAGTAGCCTCCTATAACACCGTGTTATGCGTGGTGGTTGTGGGTGGTGGTGGTGGTGGCCCATCCAAGCACTGCGGCAGGCTCACGACTGGCTGAGCCTGCTCGTTCGGCTTCATCGACTTTTCGAAGTGAATCGACAAATAAAATTGTCACACGGATCTGTCTCTGTCGAGGAGGCTATTTCCCTTGGTGTTCTATCAGCAATATCAGCAGCAGCAGCATCAGCAGCAGCATCAGCGTCACGATGTTTGTTTTACCGTGCATCATTCCCTTCGGTAAAATAAATGAAATGCAACTAACAACTCTGCCAAGTCTGAATGATTGAAACGTGCACGCACAAAACACGTGCACCTGGCCCCGAAATCCACTGCTGGACGTCATGCTCGTCGTGGCAGGGGATCGAACTCAGGCTGCCACTCCCCGTGAGGACATGGGCTGTTGTCGTGTTGACAGCGAGCACCCATTCATCCCGGAGGAGGAGAGAGGCGTGACCGCAGCCCGGCCTGGCTGCCTTTGTCTTCCCGGACACGTACACACACTCACACGCACGCACGGCGTGCTGACGATGTTCCCACTCACGACGTTTGCAGGGGTTGGGGAAGCACGCGGGCACGGAGCTGCACCACGTGATCATCTCACTCGCTCTTGTGGCCACGTGGTCAACACCCACGTTTTACTTCACCACCACTACTACTACTACACTATTATTAATACTATACCACTACCTGTACTTTACACAGTACAGGGACTCCTCTATTTACGAACACTCGACTTACGAACTTTCAGAGATACGAACAAACCTGGTCCCGTATGTTATAGTTGCCTGTTCGGACCGAGAGTCGTTGGCTCAACCGCCATAAAATAGATGGCGTTGTTGGCATCTACATCTGGCAGAACGCGAAAAAACCAGTGGCATCTACATCTGCAGAACATGAAGAACCAGTGGCATTTACATCTGCAGAACGTGAAGAACCAGTGGCATCTACATCTGCAGAACGTGAAGAATCAGTGGCATCGACATCTGCAGAACGTGAAGAATCAGTGGCATCTACATCTGCAGAACGTGAAGAACCAGTGGCATCTACATCTGCAGAACGTGAAGAACCAAGTGGCATTATACATCTACAGAACATGAAGAATCAGTGGCATCTACATCTGCAGAACGTGAAGAACCAGTGGCATCTACATCTACAGAACATGAAAAACCAGTGGCATCTATATCTTAGGTTTTTTCCGGTAAAGTCACGTAGGTAAAACATCAAATTAATAAAAATAAAATAAAATATATTTTTATTAATTTTGATGTTTTACCTACGTGACTTTACCGAAAAAACCTAAGAATATGAATCCTTCAAATCTAAAAACAGTGGCATCTACATCTGAAGAACATGAAGAAGCAGTTACATCTACAGAACGTGAAGAACCAGTGGCATCTACATCTACAGAACAAGAACCAGTGGCATCTACAATATACAGCACTGCATGATATACAACAAAGAAAAAGACCTCCCGTGTAGCCTAAACAGACTGTTGGGGCAAGTGCTGTTAGCGAACAGCACCTATGAAGGCCGGCACGGCACGCGAGGGGGTGGATGGCCAACGTCCACGCCCGACCGCCTTTGTCTCCCCGGTGTCGATGTTCACACATCGATCCTAGGGGAGGCGGCCCAGGAACGGTTCAGATAATCGTCGCCGGTGCCGGCCGTGAGCGGGAATGGAACCCCGGCCCGCGCTGACTGCTGCACCACCGCTCCCCACTCCGGCCACGTGGCCCCAAAGCGGCCACGTGGCCCTCCACTGCTGGATGGAGGCGGCGAGCAGAGTGCGGCAGGCCTCGCACGCGGCGCCGTGCCGCCCTCTTGAGCTGACGCGGCTCGTTTGATGAATTATCGTAATTAGCCCGGTAATAATCATAATAATCACTGACAAGTTAAATTAAATTATAATTAACGAATCTATTAGGTTGATGGCCTCGGCGCGCGGAGCCCGGGAGGCAGGAGGCCCCCTCGTGGCCGACACGGTAATTGTCTGTAAACACGCGGCTGCTGATATTGCTATTGTGATTAATATTGTCACTGTTTCGATTTAAAGCTTTTGTGACTGCAGGGATTCATCTTCTTGGTTCTTTCGGTAAAGTCACGTAGAAGGGAAATAATAAAAATAAATCATAATGAAATATTATTATTTAATTATGTTTATTTTTATAAAGCATAATGAAATATATTATTTAATGTTTTATTTTTATTATTTTATTATTTCCCTTCTACGTGACTTTACCGAAAGAACCAAGAAGATTGTCACTGCTGTTGATGATTACATGTTTAAAACATTGTTTTGTGGGATCGTTAATGTTAATAGGCGGGATTGTGCCGCGATTTAAGGCGGGAGCGATAATTTTTGAGGGGGTATGGGGTTTTGTATGTTTTATAAATCGTGACTACAATGCTAAGATACTGTTAGTGACGCTAAAACTGCTGTCTTTGTGTTTATTTATAATTTGTCTACAACTGCGCTAATAATACAGTGCAAGTGCGTTTGACGTTTTTAAATGTAGGACATTGAAGGACTGCTATTTTCCCCTCACGGCCTCTATTTCAATTATATTTTAGATTCTAAAGCACTACACTGCGATCACCGTCGACGTTATAACTGTAGTTTTATTTATAAAAATGCGTACTAAGATTACGACAAAACAGATTACGATGGCGGAAACCGTGGCAGTTGTGGTTCTTAAGGCGTCTGGGAGGCCTTGTCCACGTGGCAGGGGATGTAGCTCAGTGGTAGAGCGCACGCTTCGCATGTGTGAGGCCCCGGGTTCAATCCCCGGCATCTCCACACTTTTTTTCTTGGCGCCCCGTAAACCTTTAAATAAACTCGCGGCAAACGGGCACTTTACTTGCAATTGTTATACACAAATTGTAAAGTTCATAAATTGTTTTAAAACATGTACAATTTGCATATTTGCCTACTACGCACGCCCCGTTCTCACCCGTATAAAATGAATCGATGAATGGGACTTGGTAATGTTTGATGCGCATTCAACCAAAATCAATTCACCGAGGAAGCTAATCGCCTTTCACACAGCTGTGTAAGAAGGCCAATGTGGCGAGATAGGACCAGCTGGGCCCCCAGAACTGGCAGTCATGATTTGGCTGAAGATTAAAATCCGTTTCAGCGCAGTCATGCCAAGTTCTCTCTCGTCAGGTGCGGTTCCTCACCGCCCCCTAGCGGGGGATGCGAACCCGGGCAGGCATTGGTGTGTGGACGGTCATTGCACTGTGACTGCATGTTGAACCTCTTTCGCGCCGTACGTAGCCAACCGTCTGCTTGGAGGTGCGGTCAAGGGGTGACAACTCGCCCGGACACAGATGGTCCTTGCCTACAAACGTGTGGCATTTCACCATTACGAGCTCAAGCAAACCGAGCTGCTGATGAGACACTCAATGTTGAAACCGGTCCGGAGTTTGGCTTGTGTTGAACCAGTGTTTCTGAAGCCATGCACTCCCAGAAGGCCGTGTGGCAAATGGGAAATAAAAAAAACGTGTTATTTTGTGGACGGGTATGTGGAGGCGTTCTGTCTTCTTGTTGTTTCTCAACAGATGACCTTTAAGACCAGGCGAGGTGGCCGCCCATGACCAAATCGATAGGACTGTATTTATTTCGTCCGATCGCAACGCTCGGAAGCCGAGCATCGTCTTTGTCTCTTCTCAACACATGGACATACCATCCAAGTCCTACCTCTATTACATTTCCAAGGATATGAGTAACCCCTGCTTAGGATCGACCTTCGCTCTGCCTCCTTTCCCTTGAAATATTCCTGAATTTGGGTTATTCTGAAGGGCCAATAGGCTCGAGTTAATGTGGACATTTTAATCTTCACTGGGGTATCGTACTTCAAACGTTGTGCTTTCTCCGTTGGCACTACATATTTAAAATTTCAGTGGCACATTAAGTATTTACTCTAATGGTTCACAAACCCAAAGCACTCGCACACACAAAGACAGCAACTATAATTACAGCAAACAGAAATGTTGGGTGTTTTTTTATGAATAAGTGCATTTAACATTAACCCTGGAGGATAAAATACAAATGCAACCAGAATTCAACAAAAAAATAACAAAAAACGCCGCTCCAGACGAATGCAGCAGCACGCAGCGCAAACGCAAATTTACAAAAATAATAACACAGGGGCCGAGGTGTTTTTACAAACGCTCTGAGCATTTAATCCTTTGAGAAACTGTCACGGCGACACTCCGCTCCCCACTCAGCTGTGAAAAATTAAAAAGGGAGCGCGGTGCCGGCGCTGATGACTCCAGGTCTCGTCAGTGGGATCGGAACATCCACAATGGGAAGCCTTTTTGAAATCTTCCAGCTTCGTCCGGGCGAACACAACTTCACTCCGATTCGCTGTTGCCGTCCGAATCTTCTCTTTTCACCTGCTGGAAACGGTTCACAACAACTATTTCAATATTTATGTAATGCTTAAATGCAACCGCATCTCATTAGTGAGGCACAAAGTCAGGGAAGATGCATGAATGGGAAGTGGAGTAGGGTCAAGTAGGGGACACACGGGGAAGGGGTGAGACCGGAACACTGAGGCAAGGCCCAGGGCGGGCCATGTTTTAAAGGTAATTGAAGAAACATTTTTAATCTCCCGATAGACGACAGCCTCCCCCCCATGCCGTGTAAGCCATGGAGGTTGTTTGACCTTGCTTCCCCACCCCCGGTCGGTGTAGCTTTGTGAAATCAGGCTGCGGGGAGGCCTGTACACTGGTTCCAATATTAGACACAAACCGATGGTAGCCGTGAGTGGAAAATTAATTCAGGTCGCCGAGTTCGGAGCACAGCGACCTAACCACAGCATCACCGCCCCTCCCGCTCCCTCATGTTTTACAATGATTTAAGTTATTTTCTTGGGCATGCGATGCATGGGCAATTTTGAAGATGGACAAACGGACAGATGTATACATCAAGTGAGGAAGCCATTATCTTATTTTTGCAGGCTGCTGGATTTTTGCCGATTCAGCATCTACATGTATAGTTTATAGGTTAAAGAAAAGCTGCGCCTACCAGGAAACAGTGATTGAGAGTTACGGCTGGCCGTGAAACGCTAAAGCAGGGCGATATTCGGCATAATGGCCAGTTTATAACAAGCACACCCATATACGTTACCGTTAAAGTCCACCACGCCAGCCGAGTTACCGCATTATATTGTTTTAAATGCACCCTATCAATAATTATTCTTAAAAACCATATCAATTCACTGCTGTATAAAGGCCTCCCCCACACTGTGTCTACTACGTAAGCTGTGCAGCACGTGTGTGTCTTTGTGTGTACATGGGGAGGGGAGGCGCACTGCGCCACGAAGCCTGCGCAGCCCCGCCCCCCATCGCCATTCCTGCTCAGTCAATATCGGTGACGAATATCTGAACTGGTACTGGACCTCCCCTAGGGATACTCGGCCTAAAACGGGTAACCTAATGCGGTATTTAAACGTCCCCACTGGGGAGACAATGGCAGGTGGGTTCGACGCTGGTCACACCACCCCCCTTGTGCGTAGTGGCCTTAACTGGTGCTCAAAAACTGGACTTTCCCCAACAGCGAGTTGTGAGCTACACGGAGGATCTTCGACTGTCTGCGCGTGTGCGCGGGTGTGAGACTTGCGCTGTGTACGGCGCGCGCGAGGCTGCTCGTGAAGTCGTGCTTGTCCAGCGTGCCGAGCCAGCGCCGCATGCTGCCCTCCTCGCGCTCCGCCGCCACGATCCCCGCGTGCACGTGGCGCTCGGCGAACTCGGTCAGCGCCGGCGCCAGCTCGGGCCAGGCGAGCGCCGCGTGCACGCCGTCGCCCGCGTAGCGCGAATCGTAGCGGTCGTAGTGCACGCGCTCGAGCACCAGCCCGAGCCCCGGCGCTTTCGGTACGTCGAGCTTGTCGTTGGCGAAGGCGTCCTGCATGCGCTGGTCGCCGGCGTGGCCCCGCGCCACCGCCACCACCAGCCCCACCATCTTGCGGATCTGGTGCAGCATGAAGCTCTGGCCTGAGACGGTGGTGGCATTGACAAAGGGGGAAGACGATCGTTCAAAATTGGATGTTAGTTGACTGGGTTGCTTCGGTATCTGAGACGGTGTTACACTCCCATTTGTCTTCCTATAGGTGAAATAAAATACAATCTGCAGATCGCCACAGGGCAACTGAAAAGGTAGCATGCTGGAACAAATGTTTAAAAAATTTATTTTAAAAGATTTGATTGTGCCACCAGCATTCTTGATATTACTTGGAGTTCCAGAGGCAGGGAACATAAGATTCAAGGCCAATGCCTCTCCTGATGTTCGATAAAAATGTATGCACATGCGAGCCCATTTTTGTCAATCCACTGCTGAATGAGGGGTTCACCACACCGTGTGGGTCACGGGGATTATTTTCCCATAATTCACCACTCATCATGACAGATTGAAGGTGGGGAGGATAGACCCAGAAGCACACCACGGAATAGCTTTTGCTCGTCTGCCCTCTGCTGCCCAGCACATGGCAAAGCTCCACGGCCACCTTTAACGCGTGCTCGATGCATTGTGGTCACCCATTCATGAGCCAAGCTCAACCCACGCTTATGTTTGAGATATCACGAGGTCGGGCACAATTCCGGGTGATTAGTTCATATGCGTATGTAGATCAGCACTCGGATAAAGAAAACCGTGCAATCTGTCGCAGTGAGTAACGCTATGTAAACATGGAAAATCACGCTGCAGGTGTCCTCAAGAGCATTTAGTGGCGTTCCCGGACAGCCACGGAAGATCCCTCCCTCGGCTTCCTGGGCAGCTGAAGAAGCATGACAGCAAAACAGTGAAGCAGCGGAGGCTGGGTGGCAGGGTGGCGAGGACCTCTGATTCGAATGAGCGCAAACTCGATCCCATGTTGCAGCGACGGCGGCTGGCAGTACGCTTCTGTCACGTAGCGCCGTGCGCTCGCCTCCTGGGCGCCCTTGCCCGACGTGAAGTTGTGGAAGTTGTGAGTTCCCACGTAGCGCCGCAGCAGCGCGTTCACGTGCGACAGCGTCTCCTCCGGCAGCCGGAAGCTCTCCTCCCACGCCGTGTCCCGCTAGCGCACGAGGCGGACGTCACATGACAGGCAGAAGATGAAGATAACCCACGTAGCCTACGCAGACTGCCGGGGCAAGCGCCGTTGGCAAGCTGCTGTGTTAAGGCCAGCCACCCAGCGAATGTTAACACACCGCACGCCGGGTTCTCGTTTAAGGCTGAGTCAACTTGGGGAAGGTCAAGGAACGGTTTTGTATGTATGTTGAAGTTCTTTCGCACTGTACGTAACCAACCGTGCTAATCGGAGGTGCGGAGTTCATTTATTAGCCACTGATATTAGCCATGGCTGTGGAATGAATTCAGGTTCGTAGCACAATGCACAAACCACTGTGCCACCACTCGACCCCGATCACCATCTAAACCTATTTGCAGTGATTTTAGCAAGATTAGTGGATATTTTGTTTTTTGCTTTGGTTTATTTGCACATTCCCACCCTGCAACGTCCCATAACTGCCATCACTGCCACCACTATTTACGACGGCCTTTGGCTGTGATCTTCCTTGTAAAAGATCTGCTTAGCTCAATGGGCCTCACCAGGACAAATAACGTCGAATTCTGAGAGGGAGTTAAACAAAACATTACTTTGGACTTTTGTAAATACGACGATGACGATGAACGTCTGCCCCGAATTTGATCGCGTGAGCAGTCGAGACCCCGCCTGCGTTGATGACGGCGGCCTCCGGATGCACGCGGCCAGGAAGTCTCTCACCTCCCCCTCCCCGTCCCACTCGCCCTGTCCCTTGGGCCCAAACGTGAAGCTGGGCAGGAGGTAGATGTAGGTGCGCGCGTCGCAAAGCTGCTTCGAGTTGAATCCGTTCGTAACCCTCTGCATGCCTGACCCAGTGACAGCAGGACGAGAGAAAACAACGCACCAATTACCAACAACGCGACTGTATGGACAGATATGATATTAAACATTGGTTAAAGCCATTCGGTTAGAGTAAACTCTCTCAAAAATCTGGGATAATCGTGGGGGGAGGAGGCATGGACCAGATAAAACATAAACATAGAAAATGGACTTGGGCAGGACACATCGCTAGAAGGGATGATGACCTGTGGGTGAGACTAAGTGCCGAGCGGCAGCTAAAGGAAGAGAAGCGCACAAGAGGCCGTGCCGCAGGAATGGAGCCACGAGGTCGGCCCGCGCGGAGGTGCTGGGTTGATTGTTGCACCGCGGTATCGTCAAGGACGGTGGCGACGTTTGGCCATGGAACGACGATAGGCGACGATGAGGGGTCGGTGAAGGTCAAGTTTGTCCTCACCCATGATGCGGATCTGCTGGGGCAAGTGGGCGTTGATCTTGTTCACAACATCGTCGATGAGCCACATTTTGAGGGACACCACCTGCCCAATGGCTGAAACACCCTAGCAGACGCGTACACAACAAGAGACCCCATTAGCACAACAACTATATATAGATAGCAAGTCATAATAATGACATACAAACCTTTGCAAATCCAATGGTGGATGAAGAGCATCCCCACATTGTTTTGGTCATGGGGCTTGTCTGACCATACTTCACCACAGTGGACAGTCAGTGAAATGGTTCGTAAAGCACTCGCCGCTGATATTAGCCACGGCCGTGAATTTAACGTGGATCACCAGATTCGTAGGGCAGCGCGCTTACCGCCGACGGGGTCTCTCTCGCACGACAACAACAACAACCTGGTCACCTGTGCAAATGAGACTGTGTACGTATGTACGTTCAACTGCTTTCGCACCGTATGTAGCCAACCGTGCCAATCGAAGGTGCGGAATAATGCACGCGTGCGCTCTCGCTAACCTTGTCCGTGCGCGCACAGCGCTGGAAGGACATCTTGCGCATGTCGGCGGCGTGGTTGTCAGGGATGCACCCGGCCCGCACCAGCGCCTCCACCAGCTCGTCCTCGATGGTGCGGTACGCCGCGTTCCCTGCGTTCCGCTGACGGCGACATCCATCGGGAGAGGAACGGTAAAGGAGCAGCCCCGCGATCGCTCGCGCCACTCCTCGCGGAAGGGGCCCCCCCCCCCAACTAGAGGGAGCTCAAGAGAGTCCCCTTTTAGAGGGTATTTCCTTTCAGCTGCTCTTCCACGTTGCCATATGGCAAAGATATGGGGGTACCCACAGCACCACCACACGGGACCTGCAGATCGACGAACTGTGGTGTTGCCCATTTATACTGCTAGGTGGACAGAGGCAGAGCGACTTAGGAAACTTGCCCCACCGTTTCAAGTGCCACGCCGGGAGATCAAACCAACGACCAGTGCGGCATCTGATGGGGAAAATCGGAGGAGGAAAATGGAAGAATCTACCCCGGTGATGAATCAAGGACCCAGTCGGCATATGGACGGATGCAGTTGCACACCCAGGTAAACATTATGTAGGGAGGCAAATTTTATACTCATATCTGGAAAGAAATGGATTGCGTTGTATAATGCGAGATAGAGGTATGGAATCGGCTCGTGTGCACGCGCTAAGTGGAATTGAGCAGGCCTTCGTCCAGCAGTGCATTGAGTAAATGCATCTAAAATGAAATATACATCTGGAATTATGATTTCATTATTCGCACTTTCACACTCATTAGCAAATCAAAAGAACGGTTTCTGACATCGTGCCAACAGCTGTACGAGACGTCAGGGGGACGCGGGCTACCCCGTGTCCCCCTCTGTGTGGCACCCCAAGATTGATGACCGCGTGGTAAACGTTCGGAGACCCGGCAAAGGTTTGGACCCCGCGGTAAAATCAATTTGACCCCCATTACGAGAGGGGGGCAGCTCTCAGGCAGGGGTCGATGGGAAACACCCTCCACCACAACCCCACTGTGGGCTCAAGAGCAGTTACACACCAGCAGGGTTAGTTACCACGGGAGATTTGTGGCTTAAATTGTCGCCACATAGTTTGTTCTTCCTCACTGGTTCCTACCAAGTGGCCCCCCAACTCACTCAGCTCCTTAGGCTATCATTAGCAGCATCAGCATCACACGTGGACACGGGAATCATCATGAGTTGCTGCTACACAGGAGCAAAGTGCCTACGGCCATTGCCTCACATCATCCCCTTCAGAATCAAGAGTCTGTATTTAGACTGCTGGAGGTGGAATCCGATGAGCTATAAGGCTCTTGTTCGCAGATGTCCCGTAGGGGCGGGTCAGCAAGTTGCAACAGCCAACAATACAACAACAAACGATATGAATGTATAACAGAGAAGTAGTTAAACGAGTCGCTAAATATAAAAAATATAATGCTTCCGCTTAATCGATTTTCATCGCAAGCCGAGAGCAAATCCAGGAGTGTACAATGTAAGTAATGTCTCAGAATCGGTTGCCGATTGCATAACATAGACAAAAGGTTTTTGTTGGGTTAGATCGCGTAAATATATAAATATGTCGTTAAACCCGCCACCACCCGACACAGCCAATTAGTAAGGGTCGTCACGTAAACAGAACGTGGACCAATTCGTTCCTGTAACAGCCACACCGGTATGCTGTACTAGTACATTACACTAGACACTACACTATACACTACACCACTATACATTACACTATACACTAGTGCTGTACTAGTACACTACACTATACACTACACTATACACTAGTGCTGTACTAGTACACTACACTATACACTACACTATACACTAGTGCTGTACTAGTACACTACACTATACACTACACTATACACTAGTGCTGTACTAGTACACTACACTACACTATACACTAGTGCTGTACTAGTACACTACACTATACACTACACTATACACTAGTGCTGTACTAGTACACTACACTATACACTACACTATACACTAGTGCTATACTAGTACACTACACTATACACTACTATACACTACACTATATTATACACTACACACTAGTGCTGTACTAGTGACGAATTGCCACGTTGTTTGCGTGACAACCCTCACTAGTTGACTGTGTCGGGTGGTGGCGGGTTTGACGACACATTCTTATATTTACGCGATCTAACCCAACAAAAACCTCGAATATGGATATTGTTCGCGAAAGCCTAATACGTGTTAAACTGCATAGCATACCTCAACAGCGCTACACGATATAAACAGACGATAAAACACACACAGTCCTGCGTGTATATAAACACACACACAGTCCTGCGTGTATATAAACACACACACAGTCCTGCGTGTATATAAACACACACACAGTCCTGCGTGTATATAAACACACACAGTCCTGCGTGTATATAAACACACACACAGTCCTGCGTGTATATAAACACACACAGTCCTGCGTGTATATAAACACACACACAGTCCTGCGTGTATATAAACACACACACACACCAATCGCCCACCGATGCTCAGACATTGGCGACACCGTCTCAAGAATCCACCCGCGGTTTGTTTGACCAAACTGCAGCCAGGGCCAGGGGGGAGTTTAACAACAACACCCACAACAACCACAGAGTATCCACGAGGTTAACAACAACCACAACAACAACAACCACAGAGTACCCACGAGGTCAACAACCACAACAAGCACAGAGTACCCACGAGGTTAACAACAACCACCACAGAGTACCCACGAGGTTAACAACAACCACAACAAGCACAGAGTACCCACGAGGTTAACAACAACAACCACAACAACCACCACCGAGTACCCACGGGGCCCGCACCTGCATGCCGTGGTAGCCCTTGCCCGAGTAGGCCACGAGCAGCGCCACCTTCTTCTTGGGGAACTTCTTCCTCGCTACCTCGGGGCCCCCCTCGAGCCGGGCCCTCTTGGCCACAGGCGACCCCTCGGAGTCCGCTGAACCCCCCCCTTCCTTCTGCTGCTGCACCCCCTGGCTGCTGTCCCCGTTCTCCGCGGGGCCCGGCGCCTCCCCGTTAGTTTCGGGGCCCCTTCGACTCTGTGCCTCCTCCTCCTGCAGGAGGAGACGGGGGGCCGGGCCCCTGCCGTGCCCGTTGCCGTGAAGACCCCTCGAGGCCCCCTTTTCCTGGGGGCCCTGGCTGTCCCCTTTCCCGTCGGGGCCGCGTGCTTCGCCGTTCTTCTCCATAGCGACCGCGTCGCGGCCACAGTCAGGGGCGAGAGGCGGGCTGGAGGTGTGGGGACGAGGAGGAGGAGGGGAAGGGGCGAGAGTTGCGGAGCACGGCGTGGCCATGCGGACCGCCGCGTGTCCTCGCAGCAGCAGCAGCAACGACGGTGGTGGCGGTGGACGGAGGAACGCGCCGAGGTGCAGACACCAGCGCAGCGACACCAGCGATGCCTGCCGCATCCAGGGCGCAGCCAAGACGCATGAGCCACGGGGGGGGGGACGAGGCGAGGCTGCGGGGGGGGGGTGCTCTGGACTAGGGATTCAACTCCTCATTTCTCCCCCACGTCGTCGTCTTCTCCTCCAGCGGGGCTCTGCTCTAGCCGCTGCCCCCGCCGGCGTGGACGGGAAGGCCGCCCGCCCGCCTCCTCGTACGAGGCAATGGGGCGGCCACGTTGGGTCAGGGTACCGTGAGCCGCGTGTGCGAGCACAAGCAGCAACACGCTCGTCAATCACACTGACTTACTAGGGGAGGGGGGGGTGTATAAAGCGACGTTTCGGGCAAGGGTCCTTCTTATTCGAAGCACGTGCGAGATGGGGGGAGGGGGGTGACGTTTCGATGACGTGACCCCGGGGAGGGGGGCCGCGTCGACTGCGGGCGCGTGGCGCCCCCTGAGCAAGATGGCGAGGCGCGCCCACGTGGGCCCCGCCGCGCGGAGCCGGCGAGGCGCACGTGGGCAGCACGTGGCGCGCGGTGGGGGGGGGGGCGGTCCCTGCAGCCACCGCGATTAAACTTGCAAGGGCTCATTGTGACACTTTAATTACAATAATAATTCATGGCAATAATAATATCATCACCACGATGCACGGGCAAGTAGCCCGTAGATGTCCACTGCACATCTTGTAATTTGTTTCCATCTTCCTCTCGTCTGGTGCCAAGATGCTCCAGTCCAGTAGTGCCACATCCCTCTGGTAATAATGTACAAAGGCATTGCATCTGGCAGGAGGGTACAAACGCGTGGTGGGCTTTAGCCGCCTTTATCCATGACTTCTTGAGCTCGATAATGATATTTGTCTCAGTCCACTGCTGGATAAAGGCATCCCTTCCCGCTATCCACCACGAGGGTTGTTGTGTGTTGAAGGTGCTTGCTCAGATATAATTCTCCATGAATGTTAGTCGTGGACGGGAATTTAATTCAGCGGCCGTCTGGGCTCGTAGTGGAGTGTGCTCACGTACCCAGATAATATAGTAACGTATACAGCAGTGTGAACATTACTGTACTATGGATATACCGCATTTCAAGATGCCGTGTTTTAGAGATAAAATACTGGAATGGACTACATAAAATACAAAAGTTTCGACTTAGTTTGCAATCTAATATAAACACAGCGAAACATTTACAATGTCCAACTGGCCACTGGGTCCAAACATAAATCAAGATGTCACTGTGATGAATTGTCTGTAATGTACACACCGACGCCTCATCTTTCATATCCAGCTGCACTTAAAAAAAGACGGAAGACAAAATAGAGTTAACCTTTTTTTTTATAAAAGAAAAGAGTTACGTTACAGAAACAGAATACGTGAGAGAGTGCAGGGGGGTTGAATGCGTTGACGTTTATTTTACAAAGATGCGTCGCGGTTCACTCAGCACCAGGCCTCCCTCCTTGCATGCTTTCTTGAAGCTCTGCACCTGCAACGGCAACAGTTCGATCTCAATCTCGGTCTGTCTTCCACAATTACGCACGCGCCACGACCAGACACTGCACAATCGTGCCAGTGTTAAGAAGAATTGTGATGTAATGAATAAAACATACAAGCAAAATACAAACGTGAAAAAAACACATGGCACATTTAAAGAGGGCAGTATAATGTGTTTTAATGTATGCGTTTCTAATTGAAAACAATTGTGGTCGCCCAAGTGTTATTATAGGCTGCTGTGGGGCTACACGGTAGGTAGCAGAAAGCAGTGCAGCTAAATCTATTATTGTGCTGTATCATGCTGTGACCCACCGCCTTCACCAACCTGCAGCGACCAGCTGGCAAAGGAAGGGCATCTGAGACTATGGGGACGGCAGAGGAGAAGGAGCGAGAGACACGCACGCACGTACCGCCGCGCTCTTGTAGGACCAGGGAATGTGGCGGAACACGGCGTAGCTGATCCCGCTCTCCAGGCAGCGCTGCGCCAGGACGCGGCCCACGTTCTCGGCGGCTGCCACGTCGCTGGTGCTGTGGAGGTGGCGCTTGATGGCCCACTCGTGGGTGCTGACAGAGACGACCACGTGGCGGCTGCAGTGCTCCACCCAGGCCGACACGTGTTGCTGCGTGCGATCCAGACACAGCCTGCAGGGGCGGGCCGTGAGCGGTGCGTCGTTCATTTTTCTGCCGGTTTATATTTCATGTCTAAAGCGGCAACCATGGCCACTCTCCATCCCCGCGTGCCCCTGGCGAGTTTGTCTGCCTCTGCAGCGTGTGAACTCTCTTTGTTTGTTAGCCATGGTGGTGAGTTTCGTTGGTCCATAATGAGCGCAAGTGATGGACCGAGTCTCTCCCAACAAAAAGTGACGAAACTATCAGGAAATTATTGACCATTGGCCATAATCCTATCTGCTTAAACCCACTTTATTTCCTTAATATTAAAACACATTATTTGGTGGTACTGAGTTAGCAGCAGTGCTTTAAACACTGCTTTGACATGCAATGTTATTGCCTTTTAAGGTAAAAACACTGCCTCTTTTGGCATTGTTATTTGTTGAGAATCTGTTAATTTTCTTAATAGTCTGACATCATTAGCCTGCTTATTTTCTCTAATCCATGTCATCTAGTCACGGGCTATTCGTGGACTATCATGGTTTTTTTCACAACACCACTCAGACCTTTAATTCTGGTCCACGGAAGTCTCTCACCGGTGCCAGTAGCAGCGGTTGGGCCACACGGTGTCCCAGCCGCGGTCCTTGAGTGCGAGCGCCATGCGCTCCAGGTTCCTGGGGTTGCGGTTCACGAAGTCGGGCCGCACAGCCTCGTTCTTCGCCGTGCCGACCTCTTCGTACTGCTGCTGGGCGAAGGAATGGGTGGAGGACCCGGAGGACGACCTCGCTCCTCCTTTGCCAGGTAAAGGACAGCGGAAGTTGAATCAGACCAGCGGGACACACATTCGCAAAGGCATTGGGTGTGAATAATTTTACAGAGCGTGCATTGTTGCTCTGGGGACCGGGAGATCAATAATCGGATGTCCGGTCGCCGCATTGACGCCATTCATCGCGATTTCTCACTTAACAGTGGGCCCCGTGAAGGCTGCCATCTGAAATTGTAGTTGTTGCTCTGCATCTACATCAGCCATACGAAAGAGAAGATGTACAGAGCCGTGTCAAACGGTGAAGGCCTGCCCACGCTGTGAAAGCCATGGGGGTGATATGACCATACTTCACCACGCTGGTCAGAGTGGATTGGTGAAGTTGGGAAGCATAGACGTTGGGAGCAATGAAGTACAGTACAGCACAAACATGGACTTTGTTGCACTGCCCTCTGCTGGACACAAAAAGTGTAGTCCCACCGCATCGTTTCACACCCTGCCATACATAGAGGCCGCCCATCCACCCAATCACCTCTGTAAGCCACCACTGTGGAGGAAGTAGCGAGGGTTGGTGGATCACCGCAAAAATGTTGCGAAATTCCCTTCCTGTGGGCGTCGAGGAGGTTGCCGTACCCTGGCTCGTCACGAGATTGAAGTACAGCGGGGATCGAGTGTTCCCCCCTTGCACGCGAAGGGTTTTTTTTCCACCCGGGGGCTCCGGTTTCCTCCTCCCACGTGTATAATAAACACACTCGTCATTAATTGGCTGAAAATGTCTTCAAATAAAAACCTGCTGTAGCAGGACCCTCCTGAGAAAGAGTCCTACGACTGAGTTGTGACTTTCCTACTCGTGTAAGTAAATTATTATCGACCCTGTTTTGCGTCCTAGATTTGACGAGACGAGCGCATTCTTCTTACTGACAGTCAAGTCACCCGCGATTGTTATTCCAAGTTACCTGTGCAGTATTTCCCTTAATTAGCCCACGCGATGCACAATAACATAAAGCGGAAAACACGAAGTGCCGATTAAACGGCGAAATGAAAATTTGTATTTGACGTTTTGTAACGATACAGGGGGCTCTCGTATTCACTTTACAGAGCTGTCAATATCATGTGTCTCCTCGTGCATCACCGGGGTCCCCGTAAACCCCACGGGTAATCCGTGCTGGTCCCATGGGGTTCCGTAAGCCAGGTCTCCAACCCTAACCCATGGAGTATTCGAGCCCCGTGAGTCTCCAGGAATCTTGATTCTCGTGGCCTCCGTGACACCCAATCCCTGTGTATCCCGAGGGTCGCCTCGGTGGCTCGGAGATGTTAACTACCTCGCCTGGTACGCAGGAGGTCGTGGGTTCGATCCCGACCCTGACGCCTGCTGCTGCTGTGTATTTGGACTTTGCGTGTCTCTCTCCCCGTGGTCGCGTGGATTTTTTTCTTTGGGTCCTCCGGTTTTCCCCTCCACATTTAAAATCAACATCACCACCACGCGTTTAGAGTATTTGTCTGTTTACATTTACACGCGACAAGCCACTTCGTGGAACTATCTTCTGTGGCCAGGTCGCTTGTGAAAAAGTGCGATATAGCTCAGTGGGCCTTACGTGGTAAAATAAATAAAAGAGTTTCGTCGCCGAGATTCCTGTGGATCCCGCGTGCCCTCGTGGACCCCCTCCCCATCCCCCTGGACCCCCTCGATGCCCCCAAGTGTCCCCCCGATACTCGCGAATTCGTGCGCGTTCCGTTGTGCCCCTGTGGGGTCCCCATAGACCCCATCCCCTCTCTCATTTCCCGATGTTCCCCCGCGTACCCCTGCGAGTCCCCTCGCTCCCCGTGGACCCCCTCACGATCCCCGTGGACCCCCAGGACCCCCAGGACCCCACGACTTGCCTGCCAGGCCCCTCCCAGCCGCCGCGTCCTTCCCTCCGCCGCCCAGAGTCGCCCCGACGCGCCTCGCCAGGCCGCGGCACACTCCGGCAAAACGCATTTCAAGGATGTCCCCGAGTCTCGCGGGGTTCCAGAGGGTCTCACGGGGTCACCGGGGGTCTCACGGGGTCACCGGGTCCCCTCGGAGTCCCCTCGGAGTGTCTCTGGGTCCGGAGGCTCGGGGTCAAACCTAAGGCGCACGCCGTGACCTCTCACCCCTGGCGGCTACGGCGGCTCCGCGGTGCCCACACGATTCGCGTTTTCATCCACAACCATGATTATTTTATTAAATATTCTAAGTCTATTTTTATGGTTGAATAGACACGAGGCTCACTAACGTAGCGTTGCACTCTGATGTTATAAGAGAAAACATTTATTAAAAAGTCTATTTAATTAAGTAGAACGTGTTGTCAATCTTTATTTAAAGTTGCGCATTTTGATATGACGTCACATTTCTCACCCCCCACCCCTCGTCACACATGTCTGACCCACCCCCCTAGGCGCGTGACGTCATTTATGAACGGCCCCTAAGCCATTAAAGCTTTGTTTTTTGGCAATTAACACGGATTTACGTTCCTAAGGAGGGC